GAGCAAGGACTCAGCCAAACTGGTTGATACATGGATATTTTTCAATTATGAATATGCCACAGAAATATTTTTTTCCATTTATGCGAATAGTGCAGGCATGCTCTTTTCAATGTAGGTCCAGGGTGATGAAATCAACGATACAAGCCAATTATTTTAAATGAAGAACTTGATTGAAGCTAGTAGTAATTCAAAAAGAAGAAGGAAACAAAAGTTAAAATATGAGAAGTGTAAAATTTCCAAGATGTTTCGGATAATGTAGTTGAATATTATGATGAATGCCCATCAAGTAGTAACAGTATGATGATTGAAACAGGAATGGATGTTGACTCTGCAATTATTATGGAAGAAATACTATTATTCCAGATTTTTCGGGATTTTCTCTCCTCGTTTCTATGAAATGAAAATACGATTATTATTTCAATATATACGTGTGGTAATGACAAATCAGATGATTTGCCCCAAAATGTCACTGTGTTGAAAGAATTTTCCTATCAGAGAGCCGAAAAGAAAAATTCACTAGCATGTCAGTGACAATTTGTATTGAAAAAAGTTTGGAGAAGAGAAATAAAGGTATATAGAAAATAAATCAAATTTTTACTTAGCAAATGTCGAGACTTCTGCCAACACTGCATTCGAAACTGTAGGTACAGATGGTGTGAATATGAAAAGTATCGAATCTGAAATCCACAAGGAGCCAGTATCTGACTTGAATTCGAGAACTCCTGGAGATGGAACTGAGTCAGATGATTCATTACTGGATGTATTAATTAAAGAATCATTGCCTTATGATAAAGGCAATTTCAGTGGCCAAGAATTAAGCAACACGATAAAAATGTTTATTGTTCAGTTCGTAGTGGCCCGTCCCAACTTGATATAAATTTTCCAAAAGAGGAGTTTCTCTAATTTTCATTATTCACAGAAATGTCATGCTGGGCAAACTATTCCAAGAAAATGGTTGTGTTATTCACCCAAAGAAAATAAAGCGTATTGTGAAGCTTGTTGGTTATTCAATATAACTAATAGTTCATGGAAAGATGGGACTGACTGGAAAGGTTTGTCTCAAGGGGGCCCTAAATGATTTTGGCGGGGGGGCCAAAAATATGAAGTTACGCCACTGGACCTTAATCAATTTTTGGGACACTATGTAAATAATGTGTCTATGCGTTGTTCTAAATTGGTGAATTTCAATGCTAATTTCAAACATGCCGTCATGGCCACCATTTGGCCATGTTATGGGATACGTGGGATACATAGTCACGTATGTTGCTATGCTGTTTCCTTATTTGTCAGATAATCTTCCATTCCTACTCATGAAGCAAAGTTGTCAAGTAACCAATTATAATCAAGTTATGAAAAATTGCAGGACTGTCGTTGAACAAAACTACAACCGAATTAAATATCTCATTTGACGTCTTATGAGGGAGCCATGATATTATAGTAATTCATTTGTAACTTTCTCGAGCAACCAGCTTGTTAAAATATTTCTTATACTCCATATCAAAACATCATGTAAATGTTGGCAACCAAATGTCCTCTAGTGTGAATCAATAGGAATTAATATTATAAGTATTATTAACACAAATTCATCATAAGCAATAAGATTTTTTTATAGGTAGTTGGGAATATTACCAATAAATAATTGAGAATCTATGATTTATTAAATGAATGACATTAATAAACTTCCTAATCGTATTTCCAAATATGGCAACAGTGCTTTTGCCTGCCCGTACTTCCAAAATCGGGATGTCCGTTGTTGTTTGCGGTAAATTTCTAGCCGTTTTGAAAATTATCGCGGCATTATTGATGATTTTAGGCCCTTAAAATTGACTTGTTGACTTTTTTGATATTCTTGAACAAAAAATTGTCTTTTTTCGATATTTAGAACGGAACCTCAAGTTTGGTTGACACGTTCAACTTTGAAACAACCTTTGAAAAATTGACTATTCACTTTTTGCAGGCAGTCCAGAGCAATGAAAAAATACCATCCCTGTCCAGGACATCCTTATGGCGAATATTGAAAAAACTGGATTTATTATCAGAGATTTCAGTATTTTATATAGAAATACCGAAAATGGAAAAGGAATGACAAATATACCGGAATACGATACTAGATTTAATTTAATGGTATTATAAATATATGAATTGAACAGAGTGATCTACAGTGTCATTTAAAAAGTTGGCATCATATGGGGAACACTTTTAATAATATTTTATTTTGAAATTCAACTTGGGCGTTAAATTTTGCTTTGAAAAAAGATGAAAAATTGCCTAGTCGGCCGGAGTCACGTGACTTCCGCTACATGTCAAAAGTTACATTGATTAATTGGTGAAAATAGGCTTAATTGTTCAAATTTCAAAGTCAACAAAAAAAAAACTGTTTCTATTCGCAGCTTATAACTATTGATATTTTTTGATTTCTTCCAATTGTAACTTTGACAAAACTGTCCAAAACTTAATTCATATACGTAAAGAAATATGATGATATTTTGTTAAATGACTTTGGCATCATCTTAGTACTGAAGAAATCAATTTAATTAAATTTCGCTCCTGAATGATAGCGGGGATTGTTCTTTTCTGAGAAAATCCTATTTCTGTCTATTACTAGGGATTGAAAGTTAGTAGCATGATAAAGCTACTAGAATGAAATAGTTTGTCGATGTTGTTTCTTCGAAGGATATTGAAGTGTTGTTTTTGTTCTGTGGAATTTATTTGTTTGCCTACTGAGAGGTATCCCTGGGATGTTTTGGGATGTTTTAAAAATGTAACCATCAGGATGTTCTTTTGAGACGTAATATGCACTTCCCAAAGAGGTCTTCATAGGATATTGAATGTATTGTTTCTGTTCTTCTGTGGCATTACTTTGTTTGCCTACTAAGGGAGTATCCCTGGGATGTTTCGAGATGTTTTGAAAATGTTGCCGTGCGGTTGTTTTTTTAAGGTGTAATATGCACTTCCCAAAGAGGTCTTTGAAGGATATTGAAAGTATTGTATTTGTTCTTCTGTGCTATTTCTGTGTTTGCCTCATCACAACGTCTCATGCTTACGTCACAATACGATGAATTCCAATTTGTTTCCGATTTTGTTATTCTTGTTCGCATTCGCGTTTGCAGCGTCTCACGCTTACGTTAGCGCTATATAGCGAATAATGACCAGCAAATGCAAGATGAGTTGTTCGGTGTCTTAGTGCAATCAGTATAAAAGTACAAATGTATCAATACACAGCTCCCTCGCAGATGCAAAATTGTGCAGTGTAGCAGAACATTCCATAAATTGGGAAACCTCTTTCCAAATATATGTCTGTGTGTATGCACTACTTAGAAACCGATTATGTCGGTATTTTGATATATCAAGAAAATAATTTGATGTTCAATCTATTTCAATGCATTTTTCTGTCAAGGGAAATGAAATCCAAATGCAGAAGATCATTTTAACAAAAGGCTTCACAAAAGTATCTCAAAAATGATTTATATACTGCGTTTTAATGTGGGCAAGACGCTTTGAAAATGTTCTGTTGTGTCCATGAAAAGGCTATGAAAAAAAACTAGGGAGAATGTATTTTATTGACATCCCAAGGACATAAATGCGGACATTGGCTGTTCTATGAAAGTTCTATTCATGTGTAAACAGAACGTCGCAGTGGAGGTTCAATGTCTCGAAATCTCGTACTATTAACATCTCTGAGATGTTTCTGTGCTCGCTGGGCAGCGTATTTAATTTATGATGGGCACAATGATGGAAATAAGTAGATGGTGCGCGTCTTCGGCCTTTTTTACGTATTGAAAACTTAAGAAAAATCACTCGACCGCCTACTATGATTTTTTCAAGTAACATCGAGCGAGACGTTGATTGTACATTTTTCCGCTAGATGGTGATGCTGCTATTGCTCTTGTGACGAGTGGAAAAAAATGGCAAATGGCATTTTAGGTACGCGGAACATATGTAACAGTGACTTTATTTAACTCTGCATTCGAAAAATCTGCGGCAATTTAATAATTGACAGATGTCATGATTGTGCAATGCCGCCATCTATCCGAAAACCGCTAAAAACATTGTTCTCGGGACTCTCGGGAGGTCGAGAAGAATTTCTGAAACAAAAGCGCATCAGTTAGTACACCATCTACTTATTTCCATCATTATGGGCACTTTCAGATAGTGAGAGATGCCTGTATTTCAAATATGAACGACGTGGCACCGACGGAAATGTTCCTGTCATTCATATATGTACGTCATGGCAGGCAATGTGTCTAGTTACTCTGAGGTTGGGTGTGTGTCACTGTATAGGTATTCATAGAGTTGTGAGAACACAATATTTCAAATCATGTATTAACAAAATCTAGTTTACTAGTACACACATTTTTTCAGATGCTAACGGCTTCGCTGTTTCAGATAGATGAATAAAAATTTTTGTGATGGTATAAGGCTCATGAGCAGCATATTTCTAAATTGCTTAAGTAGTATATAGGGCGACACCAATATGCGTGGCGTATCAAAGTTGTACTTTTCATTATAGGACACTCTGTATTTTATTGCATTTTCAGATTCTCCTTTGTGAGCTGATTCCATCAATAAATCACACTCGGGATCTAGCGGGAATGATTATAGAGATATAGGGTGTTCAAAATCGAGATCTCTGTAATCATTCTTGCTTGACCCCAAGTGTGATGCATTTATGAAATCAGCTCACAAAGAAGAATCCGAAAAATGCAATGGAATACAGGATGTCCAATAAGAAAAAGTATAACATTGATACGTCACGCATTTTTTAATCACCCTGTATAACTCGAAATATTTTGGAAATGTGCTGCTCATGAGCCTAGACCATCTCAAACATTTTTGTTCATCTCATCTCCAATAGCGAAGCCGCTTTCTCACTTTCCTGTTTCATAGACTCACCCGTATAGAGTTTCCAAAGTTAATAGGAGCACTCCAACTGACAACAATAATTCCCGTGATCGTCCGATCATCCTGTAAAACAATAAAAATAGCTCATTGAAACATACCTTGGATTTCCACTCCGTGAACAGTCTTCAGATGGTCTTCTAGCTCCCAGACACATGTGAAGCCACTCTCAGACTTCACCTCACATTTGTCACATATCTTGTGTTCGTGACAGCCAGCTGTCTCTTTTTTATGATTTATCAAATCTTCCTTGCTTTCATAGATTTCATTGCATGAAGTACAAATGTAGATGTTATCTGTTTCATCCTCTGGTTCTTCTTTAATATCGGCTTCTTGATCGTTTACTTCTACGTCAGTCTTAACACGTTTATCACACACCTCAAACAGAGGAATTTCATCGCATTCCTGTTTCTCAATCTTAACTTTCTCATCTTTTATAACGATATCAGTTTCTAAATCACTCTCGGCTGTATCATCGACTTCATCCTCTTTCTTTATATCTAAATGCTCTATTGATAATTGCTCAACTTTTATTCTGGGCTCTGAAGATGGGTCAGTTGCTTCTTGTTTAATGAGAGGTTCAAAAAGTCTGCCAGATGAAGAATTCATAATATCCATGGGACATGGAGAAGATCTGATAATATATTGAAGATTAATAAAAAAAATAATAAAATCCTCAGAAATATATTCAACACATTTTTTGTCAGAGATTATTTTTGGGTTCAGTATAATCAAACTACTCACATGGCGACTGTCTCCAAGTTTTCATCTGCCATACTTGAGATTGCCTCGTTTGGAACTAGAGGAAAATGATACTCAATCAAGATTATAACGTAGATGATCAAATTTTACCGACTAATATTCCTATATTTGATAGAACTTAATGAAATACTATTCACTATTCAAGAACATAAAAAAATAACATATTTCTTTAGTTTTATTTTATTAATTATTTTACTGATATCAACTGAGGTAGGGGTGCTCAGACTTTTAGGGACTGTGATCTACCACAAAACATTCAGGTGATAAACGATCGTCATGTTCGATTACCGGCGATTAGGAGTAGCTAGAGTTCCTAAATGTACTTGACACTATTATTTTGACGTAAATTTCAAAGGTTTGTCAATTTGAATTGTTTATGTATCAATTCTTCAAAGTGGAAATCCCAAGTCTGAACTAGTGCGTAGTTAAGAAGTGCGGGACCTCAACCTTCTAAGGTGCCAAAAGATGCTGACAGGACAAGAACACGACTTAACCCGTGCACCATTTATTGTCATTAAAAATGATTTTAGATGGCCGAGTTCGAACCAACAACCCCTCTAGCAGGCGATGTAGTAAGTCGAGCGCCGAAGTCTGTACAACCATAATATGGTTTCCTGTTCCATACTGTCTTGGGATATCTTTATTGTTCATATTAAAAGAAGTAATATGAATCCATACTATTCTTTTATATTAATATGTACCTATCTAGTATCCTGTTATTGTTGCCGATATCACTTATTACTTAGTTATTTATACACCAAGGGAACAAATAATATCATTATTATCCAGGGACCAAGATTATATCCCGAGGCTTCGGCCAAGGGGTATATGAGGTCCCGTGGTAATAATATTATTTACTACCAAGGTTTGTATTAAATTTTTTTCACCACTAGCAATATATTTCAATCATTTCAGTTCTGTGAAACCGATATATGGACCTATATTGTCACTATACAAGCACTCATTTTAAATTATTCCAGGGCCATTGCTGCGAATATCTGATTAGAACAGTGCATTCGGGTTAATTACAACAGAGGTGGTGATGTCTAATGGTTCATAAAATGACGAAAACTACTTTGGTAGTAAAAACACAATTTACACCTCAAAAAAAAGTAAATAATGGTATGTTTGATAGCTGGTGGTGGAAAAAAGTATGTTTTATTGGTTGTAATTTATCAATTTTTACCCCATTCTGAACTCTTGTGCTACAAAAATTATTCAACTGAATTTATAGACGCTTTCCTCTCAGTTTATTATCATTTCATAGTAATAGTTTATGTTCTTCGTTGTGTATGTATGTACATACCAACTGGCCATCGACCTCCATGGAGGTTCTTTAGCAGGGGCGGATCCAGACGATGTTTGAGGGGGGGGCCATAGAAAGTCAAGGCTCAATAAGGTTAGCGCGGAAGAGAAATTATAAAGTGACCTTCTGAGATAAATGCTTTTTCATTAAAAAAATTGATTATAGTAAACATGAAATCTTTAGTTTCCTTTCAAGTATCGAAATTACTGGTGTAAAAAAACAAGTTCAAACTATTCTTATTCCATCAATATATGTAGATTTCTGTGATAAATCATATTGGATAAAAAAGTTGATAAAAAAATATTTCTTTCGAAAAACAAAACAAATGAAACAGACTAAAATAAAAATATATAAAATAAAGAAAACAAATTCCAGTCTTCTATTTTTCTGCCTAACGTATCTTTGGATGATATCATCAACATTCAGACTGCTGCAGATGCCCCTGTGAATATGCATCAATGCCAATCCATTCAACCTGTCCTGGGCCATTCTGGATCTTATCCAATCTTTCAGCCTTCAGAGTGTTGAAAAACTTCTTTCAGAAGATGCAACACTTACAGGCAGGCAACATAATGGTTCCAGAAGAATGTTTATGTTAGGAAACAAATGTTTGTTACATCCCTTCAGGGCAGTTATACCATTGTTTGGTATATTTTGCTTAGTATCCCACATTTTCTTCCATATCAGAAACGATCTTCTGAAAGGATATTTCATCATTCTCCTCAAAAATGGTCGGAAACTGTTCAAGTATATCTCTCATACCTCATATATTCCCTCATCTGTTTTGTTTTTAGTTATTGATGGCACACAAAGGTGAAGGTTGTATAGATTCAATTTATTTTCTGATAGTCTATCATTCAGATCAAGGATAATACTGGGATGAAATAGTTATTCTGTAATGGTCATCCACTGAGGAAACCATAGGATTCGGTCTATGAACCAGTCTCCCTGTTATTCTCGGCATCGAAAATTCAACATTCAGTTCTTTCAATTTATGTTTTATATTCGAAATACTTGGATAGTATTTAGAATATGTATCATCCCTTTTATTTTGATGCGTCATCAGAAGAGTGATACTAACAACATCGTTAGCTTGTTTTTTGTCTGAGTTTTTTGTTTGGAGCAAATTACTGAGTGGCAGTGTTATCGAAAACATATTTGCCAAACAGCAATTTGCAATTCCTCAGAGCTGTTGCGAAGTTTCTAGCTATAAAGACATATACACTAATTATTTCATTTATTTAAAATACCTACATTTTTACATATCCATGAGGTTCCCGAGGGGGGGGGCCATGGCCCCATGGCCCCCCCCTTGGATCCGCCCCTGTTCTTTAGCCCCATCATTCCATATTTCTAGAAGAACTAATTTTCTAATTCATTTATTGTAACCTTTTTCCCACTCAAGGAGACGCTATGCTCTCATTCAAAAATGAAAGACAAATAAAGATAGATGTACTCTTCCCTCACATGTAGAGGAAGGAAGATGTGAGAAGTCTTTATCTAAGCGAAAAACATTTTCTTGTCCTTGTCTCACAAATCATGTGATTTGATTTACTTCAAAATCGTTTTTGGTTATGTCTCACTGTCACTGCTTGTCGAGTGTCCGTACTCTAATTAATCATTTCAGAATTACGTCATTTGACAGGTCGCTGGAGAGCAAACATTTTATTTTTTCGTCATATAAAACCAGAATTATTAGTGGGTTCGTTTTCCTTGGAACCCGAGTTGGAACCCAAATAAATTTCAAGATTTTGTTTGGTGAATCTGTTACTCACTCACTCTTTGACATCATTGGAACACCGTAGAAAGGTCGCCAACCTTTCACTTTTCAATCGATACTTCCACGGGAAATGTGCTTCGGAAATCTTTGCTATCATCCCTTCACTAGCAATACCAGTCAGACGAACTAGACAAGCCCAGTCAGCACATTCCTTCGTTGTCAACCTCGAAAGATGTCAAACAGCACTTTATCAAAACTACTTCATCCATAGAACGGCTAGGCTCTGGAATTCATTGCCTGAGGAAGTATTCCCAACAACATATAATCTCCAGACGTTCGAAAAAAATTACAATACCAACCTCCTGTCCCTATCCTCCCTAGGAACGCACGATGTTCTTTGAACATTATTGGGATTTCCTTTCGTGCGCTCCAAGTGATAAAAAAAACTGTATTCTGGATGTGGGCTGGGCTACGCTCGCCAAAGCTATCCTTACAGATAGTTTGTGTGCCCTCCAAGAAACCTTGTCAAAACCACGTGTCCTAGAATGGTCAACATTCCTCAGATGATGACCTTGAATACCGCGAATACAAAAAACGTCGAAACATCAGTGTCAAGTACATTAAGGAACTCTCGGAGTTCTTTCTCAAAATGAGTTCCAAGTTTTCAGTACTCATGTGATATGTTGAATTTTTCAGTGTATTATCAAAAGGAACTAGGTATGTACAATTGTTTTGAAGAAAAATATTCCTGAAATTGAACATCCATATTGCCATCCACCAACCAGTGTACTTTCTGTAAAAATTATCGACATGTTAACAAACGATTTTTAAGAACCCCTATTCTAACATCCAATTATTATCGATTTGAAAAATTTGTATTGTTGGGTTGGAGATACATGCTTATTTCAAGTTTTCTCAAAACCATATAAATGTCCCTTGGTCCCTTTTAATAATAACTGATTCAATTATAAGTCTCGATTATAGTACAATTATAGTCTCGATTATAGTACATAAATACAAAGTAAATTATACTTATATAAAGTTAATCATTTCATAAAATTGAAATGTTATTTGTGATTATTATTTATTTTCTCCCGATCCATCCCAAATGCACTGGCTATCCACTGTTTGAGCATCCCTGATCTCCAAGGTATCAAAGACTTTGCCAAGAAAAAAGGTTCTCTTAAAGAGTTTCCTAAGATGAGGAATTACTCTAACCATGATTATCTTCAAGAGAACTACTCAACTGTAAAGTTGGCAATGCAGTTTCAGTGAGCCCCATTTTTAGTTTCCCCTTTAGCATTTTATTTTCAAAATGTAATGAGCAAACTCTGTAAACAGAATCATATAAGGATTTCGAAATATCCAATATGCCACATTTTTTCGCCCATTCTCTACAACTAGAAGAAAAAGTGTCATCAATTTATTGTAAATAATTATATGCTCAGACAGCAACAGCAAAGCTGCAATACTGGCTTTGCAATCCAATAGGATCTCAACCAATTAGTAGCGTCTGGGGAGTATACTTGCTATACATTTTATGATGGTGGGGGGAGTGCAGCGTTGCTAGTTACCGCTTCTTCGTTCGAATACTAGCGCCGCCTAGAGACACAGCGCCTACAGCGACTAAATTCTTCCTCATACTACTATAGTTACTACGACTCGTGGCGTAGTTGACTGTGTGTTTGAATCTCCCGCCGGCGACCTGGGTTCAATGCCTGCGACGGCCGGCTTTTTTTTATTAGTCCTGTTTTCTCAAGTGATTGTCCGAAAAATATAATTTTTAGGAAGAAGGTTCATTTAGGCTGATTGAGGTCAGGTGGGTGGTTAGAAAAAAGTTGTATCCTTTTTTATACAGGAAGGATATTTTCCTTTTTCCCAGAGAAAAGTACTATGGAGGCATTTACTGATGAGAGAAAGTTTTGACAGAATTATTTTCGAGAGTAAAGGTTTGTTTTGACCGAGTTAGATGGTGTTGTTTTCAAAGAATAGTCTCTTTTCACTTCCATGTGAATTCATGAAAATGCTATTTTCTTCTTCTTCATTTTGGGTTATTCTATGAGTTCAAGATCATTGCAGTACTTTCTTCCACAAGTTAAAGAAAATCAGCACAATCTGGCAACATTGATATGACTGACACGGGATTACGCGAAGTCACCTCCACTGCTCCACTATTCCATTTTATGACGCAGACCGTTACTAGAGTCCCTGTATATACCTTAGACAAGAGTCCGGACACAACTATACTTCTATCCTTTTCTGTTTTCAAAAAATGCATTGATGATTGAATAAAGGAATAAGACATATATATCGAGCTCTGTCTTTTCAATTCCCCTAGTATCAATGATTTCAGAAACAATTTTGAGGGTTAGATTATTTGTCAAACCGTTCATAGCCGTAGGTAGAAGTGAGAAATAGGGCTATTTTAACTAGAATAACTATTAGATTTTCAAATAATGAACAACAGGGTGTTCAAATTTCGAATCGATAATTTTGGTAATAAATTCCTGAGATGGCTATTGCAAATTTTCGTCATCAGATATTTCTTTCCTTTATTAAAATAGTTAATTCAAGTGTTCTACGTGGTATCACATATAGCCAAGAAAATATAGTTGTTTCCTGTTGGGATATACAAAAATAGAAGATATATAATTCTTTCAATATAATTTTAATTGTGTCGGTTTGCCACCTCTTCCTGCAGTCTACATTCACCAGTAAATTTTTTAATTTGATCTGAATTAAAAACACCGTGGACTGATGACATAGCACATTGCAATTTCTCCCTAAATCTTCTAGTTTTGATTTCAAACTTTCAATTTCTCTCCGCATCATCTCATTCTCATTTTTTTTCTCTGCGATCGTATTATTCAGTAATTCCCAATACGATGACGACTGAACTCTTTTTTTGAAGGGATTGACGGCACAGCAGACTCTTTCAATTTGAAATCCATCAGCTTGAAAGAATCTCTATCAAAATGGGCCTAAAATTCATCTTTTTTGTACTGTTTTACAAGTGAATTCGAATATTTACCTCACATATTGCGGATTTCTCGAAATTAATTTTCCATTCTGGACGTTTCATTGCATTCTTCCATGACATTATCTTTGAAGGATCATTATTCAGAAAATTGAATAACTCGAATCCCTTTTCTAATGAATTATCGCAATAATGTACGCAGCAGGACATTGAAATAATTAAAAATGCAAAATTTTGGCGGTCATAAAATTTCAAAGTGACAGTGACAGAAATTCGAAATAATTAAAATAAGTGGGCGAGACGTATGGTGTTTCGTCACATTGTCAGGTGGGCAAACCAAATGAAACAAAATATTAAAAACCCCAACGGCTGTCAGTTTTGTGTCCGGACTCTTGTCTAAAGTATATACAGGGACTCTAACCGTTACCACCGATGTTTTATCGGTGGTAACGCGCAGACTCCGCAGACGCAACTCAACCAATTTGGTGTCCGAATGCAGAAAGGCCTTGGATATCCTGTCTAAACTCTAAATCAAGAAAAGTTAGCCTCATGTGGGTCCCGGGCACTCGGGGATACCCGGAAACGAGGAGGCAGACAGCTGACAGACTGGCCAAGATCGGTTCAGGACGGACCCCGGTCGGACCGGAAACTGGAACCAATCTTAGGAATACCAAACAGTCTGGCATTGGGCACTGTCCTCCATAGAGGGACAGTTGCAAAAGCAATTCCCCAAAATATGGCAGGACACACAAGGAATGAGACAATTGAAGCATCACATAAAGGAACTTTGGAAGAGGCTCACGGATCAGGTCTTATCTAGGTAGTGGGGCTCCTAACCACCTCAATAGACACCCAAAGCTAATTGAGATCATATTACTTATTTTAGACTTTATTTTTATTTTTGACTTTTTCGAAATAGAGCAAGTGTTTTAAAGACCAGTATCCAGAATATAATGTTCCAATTAAACCTGGAATTAAACATACTGAGGCGTTCTTTAAATAAGCAAAATAGGGTAAGTACAAAAAAAAAGTTTTTTTGCACCTCCGACCGAAATACTGGAGTAAATACATATATAATTTGAACAATTTGAACCAACCTGGTGGTGGTGAAAAATATCCTCAAATAAATTAGAACAGCTGACGGGAGTAAACTTATCTCAGTGATATCTATGAATGATTGGATGAATCAAAGAACAACACAATAATTATAAGATCTTCAAGACATTTTGAAAACATTGTAGATAGGTATATCAAGTATTTTGAACAAAAAAAAGGATAGGATCTATATCCTTGATTATACACACTATCGTGAATACTCAAAGTCTATATATAATTTGATTCAACAAAATCTGAACATATGATTTTCCCGAGGATTTTCCACAAAGACTGAAGAAATATTAAACACATAATAATAATATGAGAAACAACAAGAAAAATACCAGAAAGGCTTGTACCTTTCTGGAGAAAATATAAAATGAATACGTACTATACAAACTTGTGATGTTTACCAGATTCAGAAGTAATATAGGAAGGGCTGGCAAAATATTGAACTCAATAATATGAGAAAAAGAGCCCAGAGCAAATCACTACCTACCTCTGGTAATGGATTGTAGTGATTTAATGATAGGGAAGTAATAATAATAATAAATGTGAGTACTGACTACATAATCTTACCTATCGATATCGTTGGGAAATCGAAAGAGGTGCAAGTCATTGCTATATTTCTGATGATTTGAAAAGCAACCCCCAACAGCACAATGCTTTATTCACTACTCGATTCACTATCATCATTCTGAGAATCAAGAACAATATTATGAGCAATGAATAATCATGAATGTGGATGAAACTACCTAATAATTCAGTAATCAGTATTCAAGTTATTGAGAAATTCAAAATAAAACTGTTTTTGTTTACAATTTTCCCATTTCCACTTGGGTTTGTGTCTTGTGCCATTTTATGTGTCATGTATCAGTGTCAACACTGTCAACTGTCATACCATGTCATACGTCATGCAAGATGTGGCTAGAACACCACTTGTCGTCGACTGTAAGGTTTTCTCTTCGAGTTTTTCCTTTTTCTTAAAATAAAAGCTTCATATTTCATATCAAGCCTGGAAAATAGAATCTTCTTAATATTAAGCCTGAAAACGAAAACTATTTAATTAGGAAAAAGGATACGAATGTGACTCTAGTACACAATTGATACTGAGATGCTTATAAATATCTCAATTGATACTATCTAAGTGATCTGTTTTGGCGAGGCGCCGAAATATCATCATGTTCTGACTTATTTTTTTATTTAGCAACATGAATAGGTCCTAGTAGATATTTGATCAAGAGGATGGGGATGATATCCTAAGAGCAATCACTGAGAGGATATATTATTATCCTTTCAATGCTCAGCTGCACCCGCATATTACTAGAATGGAGAAACATTTAGAAATGTCACTAATGAATGATGATAAAAGACAAAATTATGAACTAATATGTCACCATTGTCACCCTATGTCTGAACTTGTCTGAACTGTGAATCACGTACTGAATCTACATCGTGGTCTGAAGTCAGTCTGAAGTTATACCTATCAAAATATGTCTAAAAAACCTTCAAAACGCTCGAAGAAAGAAACAGAAATTGATCAGTCAGTGAGTGGAAATAAAAATTACTAATTACACTCAGAGCTTAGAAAGCTACAGGAATTGAAACAAATAATATGTATCTATACTTTAGGCTACTACCGATGTTGATGTTACTGAACAAAATGAGGATATAGAAGAAACACATGAATCATTACAGAGGGAGCCCAGAACCATTAATATAAACTTGGAATCATATCAGAATATAGTGAGTAATCAAAGAAAATATTGTGTACAGGGTTCAGGATGAGTCATTAAAAAGGCCGGCAAGCTTTTTGACAGATGAAATGTCGCCATGCATAGGCGTCACCAGAGAAATTTTCAAGAGGGGGCTGGAATTTTACTTCCATTGCAATTATCACGGGTATACAGTGTGTCCCAAATTCGATCCTCACCATTGGGATCTCAGTAACTATGAGAGATAGAGAAACGGTTAAATTAGCAAAGTTGTAGCAAATTTAATGTTGAATCATAATCTATCGAGAAATCCGGGCTAGCTTCAGTCATTCTTGAGTTATTTGAGGAAAACTGAAATCTTGTATTTTTGTTTTTCTCGAATATCTCGGAACCTATTGATTTTATGAAAAAATGACTTCAACATTCTCATAGCACTTTTTAGTGCTCTTTTCAATGGTTCTGTCAGTTTTTCATCAAAATGTCAAATTTCTGAGATATCACCTACAACTTCAATTTTTCTTATGGACGCCATATTGGATTTTGACAGATTTGAAATCAGCATCAAATTTCCTTTCTAGTGATGTATCACACTCACAGTTTTGTTCTATTTGGGGTAATGATTTCCAATTTTTGTTTTTATGTCAAGTAGGCTATGAATTCTGTGTTCTATGTTCTTGCATAACTTATCGCATGGAATTGGATGAGTACTATTATAGCAGAAAAAAATTTAATAACAGTTGAATAATACAAATACTGAAAAAAAAATCAATTGAACTGCTCGAAATGGCCCCCATTGTTCTCCATACATTTTAATATTCGCGAGCGAACATGATTCGCTGCTTTTCTCAGATGAACTCTGTTGATGTTCTGGAATGTGTCCATCACCCTATCTCGTAGATCATCAATATCTTGAATTGGATCTTCATAAATTTTATTTTTGGCGTAGCCTCACAGGTAAAAATCGAGAGGCGTACAGTCAGGCGACCTTGGAGGCCATCTCACAGGTCCATGGGTAGTAATTAATTTAGCACCAAATTGATTCTCAAGATATTCCCTAACCAATCGCGTATTGTGCGGTGGGGCACCATCTTGCTGAAACCACATTAACTCATATTCAGCAAGTGGTATCTCGTCTATAAAATTCGAAATTTCATTTCTCAATAGCTCTAAATAACGTGGACCATTCAAGTTATAATCGTAGATTATTGGACCTAGTAGTCTACTGCCTGAAAAAAATACACAATGAGAAACAGTTATTCATGAACCAAAATTCTAGTAAGGTACCAAATATCCCACACCAAACATTGAAACCAAATTTGTTCTGCCACTTTGATTCTCTGATGACATGCGGATTATTTTGTGCTCAGTAATGATGATTATGTTTATTGTAAATTCCATTATTATGAAATCTCGTTTCATCGGTCCAGCAGATATTCAATGGAAAGTTCTCGATTCTTTCACACTGGTTATGGAACCAGTGACAAAACTCGAGACGACGTTCATTATCACCAGATCTTAACCCTTGTACTATCACTGGTTTGAAAGGGTGGTACTTATCATTCACTAAATGTCTGTGGATTGTTGTTTTCGGCACAAGAGTTCTCCGACTAAGCTCTCGAATTGAAATGGTAGGAGTTTGATTGATGATTCCTTCGATATTTGCAATATCTTGTTCATCCAAGCGCAAACCATACCTTGGCCTAGGTGCAATGAAACTTCCATGCTCTTGCAAATTTCTTTGTAATGTTAGAAAAATGGAAGGATGCGGTTGTTGTCTTTCTGGATATAAATGGAAGTATTGTCTAGCTGTTTCTCTGTTATTTCGATTATTTCTGATATAACAATTGTACATATCAAATTTTTCGAGATTTGTGAACGGCATTGTTTGCCCCGAAATAATTGACTTGTATTTTTTCTTGACGTTTACAGAAATGTCACTTGGCTCAACTTTGCTCCAAGCCTACTCTATGAAAGTTGTGCCAGAACACATTATCGTTAATGTTTATAGAGAGCTTAGCGCATAGCCTACTGGACATAAAAACAAACATTGGAAATCAGTACCCCAAATAGAACAAAACTGTGAGTGTGATACATCACTAGAAAGGAAATTCGATGCTGATTTCAAATCTGTGAAAATCCAATATGGCGTCCATGAGAAAAATTGAAGTTGTAGGTGATATCTCAGAAATTTGACATTTTGACGGAACACTGACAAAACCATTGAAAAGAGCACTAAAAAGTGCTATGAGAATGTTGAAGTCATTTTTTCATAAAATCAATAGGTTCCGAGATATTCGAGAAAAACAAAAATACAAGATTTCAGTTTTCCTCAAATAACTCAAGAATGACTGAAGCTAGCCCGGATTTCTCGATAGATTATGATTCAACATTAAATTTGCTACAACTTTGCTAATTTAACCATTTCTCTATCTCTCATAGTTACTGAGATCCCAATGGTGAGGATCGAATTTGGGACACACTGTATTATCATATGAGTGCTCACAATACTATAATCAATAGTACTTAATTCTGACAGAAATCTCATTTCTGTCAGAAGAATTTTCGATAGTGTTGTGGGCACGATAGTTCTATTTATTGAGAAAATTGCAGGACGTATATGAAAATTGTCATATCCAGCAATTAAAAACCAATCAGAATGGCATGTGCTTCTCGGTATCGCCTCGATCCATAGTACACGCTGCTTATTTGTCCTTTCCAGTCGGTAAGACCACACGTCGTCACGGCAACCACGAATCTGCATAGAACATCTTGTCAGCTGTTATGACATGGAGATAACAATTTCATTATTAGGTCGTGAAATTTTCACTCGTAATACCACTAGAGGTCAAATTTATTCCGGAAATTTTTTCGAGCTCATGGATATTTTGAAAATTAATATAATAATTTTCGAAATATTCATGAGCGAGTAAGCAATTTGACCTCGTATTCGGTAAGAAAATTCCACACCAGATATTGGAAATTGAATAATTTTAGAATTTATTTGTTCATTTGATTTGCATATACAGCAGGTTCATGAATAAATTTAGTTTGGGTCGCAGTTTCGGCCCCAATAATAGATTCCTGATTTCTACCTATTACATCTATGCTATTACTTATATTTGTATGAAAATACTAGTTTAAAATGTAACATATTGTATTCTTCCATTTTATATCAACTTCGGGATACTACAAGGGATAAGAAATTTTAATTTTGTCAATTGATTTTTCATAGGTATAGGTACATACTAGTAGTAGTAGATAATGAGGAGGCGGTCGCCTAGCAAGTAGGCCCCAGTTAATTTTTTTTGCCGACCCCTGCTGCACACTTCATGTCGTCATGTGCACATAATATCTACTATTCCTTCTCCTAATCAGTGTTGCCAGCTGCTGAAGATGAAATGTCGCCAAAAGTTAGGAAAAAAACCGCTAGAAGTTGCCAAAGCGAGCGAAGCGAGCAGAAAACCCGCCGCAGGCGAAATTTTTGACTTTTTTTCGTGATTTAGCGACATTTTTGATCATTTTTCATCCCGAAATCCTCTCTTTTTAATACTTGTAGGTACGCTTTTTTATTGAATACGACGTACTGTACCTACCTAACTTTTTATGCCCAATTTGAAACTTTTATCAGGGCGTGGAAAATTTGTTTTGTTTGTTATAGATTACCTATTCCTTCCTCGAAAGAGTAGTTAATCTATGGCGTTGAGAGAGAAAAAAATGTCTTCCCCATCCGTCCTTGCGTCTTCAGTGTTATTTTATTTTGGTAACATTGGAAATGGGAAAAATGATCATATAAACCTCAATACACAAAAGGTTAGACATTGTTAGAATGGCCTTCTTCTCCATTTCCCCTCATTGCCAGAATTGAGACAAGGACAGATGGGAAGATATTTTTTGTCTCTCTCAACGCTAGCTGAACTGCACTATATATTTTGTGGTAAATTTTGCTTAGTTAGGTATTTTGACTTGGTCCCAAAGTTTTTTTTTCTTCCAAAGATTGGATTTTTCCCTATCGCAGACATTCAGACTCACTGTTCCTATTGTGATACAATCATAGGATCATCCACGACAATACCAGTTACTGATGATGAATTCTTACCAATAAATGAATCATTCTCCTTTGAAGTTGACATCAACTCACCCAGAGAAATTGACCAACTTATATCTTCTCCTGCCATATGTAAGTAATGTAATTAATTACGATATAAATGTTAGTAATATTGATAACATTAGTTTGTTGAAGATTTATATATTAAGTAGGACAAGGTTATAAAAAATGCAACTAATATATTTTGTTATTGTGAAGCTCCCGGTTTTTCCGGAAGTGACGTCATCTTTGTTATTTTAAAAGGAACACTCCGTATTTCCCAAAATTTTTGGATTTTTCTCATGATTTTGGATCGAATTCATGGATCATACCCTATACTTACCTGAAATGAACGGATTTTTCGAGTCTTTCTAGAAAAAGTGTGACACTGCAGCTTATATTGAACATTCGCCAGTGGATTGTAATTTATTTTTATAGTGATATGCAGTGAATATTTAAGGTTGAAAGGATCACTCACCATAATCACGACTGAATAATTTACAGAGTGTGCAGAAAAGTGGGTCCAAAAAGTGAATGTGAAACATTGAAAATCTCCATTTCTTTGAATGGAAACCCTATTTTTTCTGCTCAAAATCCAATTCTATTATAAAAAGGAGCTCAAGTTCTGATCAACCTACCTATGCCCAAAACCCATAATTTGGGAGACATTCCATAAATAGTACCTAATTCTGCAATAACTTCCTCTGTATATATCTATTATAAGATTTTTATACTAGGCTGTGCAAAATATCGACAAATGAATTAGAGATTTATCATCTACAAATGTGCGAAATATGGCTCGTGTTGGGAATGTGATAAAACGAAATCTTGATTATTATACCCAATGCGACTCATATTGCACTTTTGCAGATGATGAATCTGGCAGTGATCGAATATAATTCCTTTGTATCACGAATCTTGGCAGGATATAATCTCCATATTGTCCCAATATCGAGAATATTGGGCCAATATAGGGCCAATGCCCAGCCAAGATCATGTGCTACTGGATATTTTTCCACAAACTACTAGAAACATTCAGAATGTCAGGCAGTTATTATTCAAAATCAAGTATTATTCAGGAAATATCTTCAAAATTATGGGTTTAGTCTTGAGGGCGCCGTACATTATGCTATTTCTCGGCAAGTTTCAGGCAATGCAATTTTCTCGCAATTTTCTTAATTTATTGCAAGTCACTGTACATTGAGATATTTCTGTCATATTTTCTTGTTCATATTAATTTTTTTCAGGTTTATTGAGCCTTCAATGTACTTTTTGAGGTTATTTGGTGTTTCAGGCCACGTTATGGAGAAAATTTGTATTTTATCAAGATGCTATGATGAATATTACTCAAAATTCCACTAAAATGCCTTGTAATAGCAGGAAAAATAGGACTGGTTCTATTACGAAACTTGCATGAAACTTGCCGTGAAATATCATAGACGCATGCGCATTGTTCGATTCAAAATTGCATTGCATCGAACTTGCTGGTAAATAGCATAATGTACGGCGCCCTTTAGGGTAAAGGGAAGTTAATTAGTAGTATGTCCTTTAATTTTTCGAAAATGTATTGATATAAATGCCATCAGATAAAATTTTGTATGTAATACGAATCATAAACAATCATTATGGCACACGCCGTGTTATCGGACTCGGGTACGCCTCGCCCGATAACATTCACGACTTGTACCATAATGATCGTCTTTATGATCCTTATTACATAAATAACTAATATATTATATAGCATATATTATTATGTTCGGTAGACTGAATTTGTCTCTTTCTTTTGGAAAAACAGTTAATTTTAGGTATGGGGTATGAGACTTCCGGAAGCTTCACGATAATGAATATATTTTGGTTGGATTCTCCATGTCTTTCACCGCCCCTATGAATTTTCAGAACTACTTATAGTTCTCCATACACAGTTTGAGTCAAAAATTTTTACCGAGCTTTCTGGAGGTGATAGTACATTGGAAAATAAGTCTAGTTTGAAGAATAAATCACTGGCCCAGATTGTATATTGATAGTTATTTAACCAACTAGTGTATTAATGAGGGCGATTAATGATCGAGATATTTTAACGTGCGAGCGAAGCGAGTGCGTTAATGTTCGAGATCATTAATCGCCTTTTAATATACAAGTTGGTTACAAAATTTTTCCGTCGACTATATTTCTCATTTCTCCTGCAATGAAGAAAACTTGGTTCGCGAATTCATCATCCATCCGGAAACTGCTAAGAATCACCCAGTATAGCCTTGTTACTGACATTAGTGTCATTTGACATTTGTCGAAATGATCAACATATTGGAAATAAATTCCTTATGTTAGAAAACAGGGATTAAAATCGTGTCAGAAACATGGAAAGGCGAACCCGTTAACGGAAAATCGTCGATGAAATCCATATTTTCGATTTAAATGCAGATTCCGCTAGTTATAGCATAAACAATAAATGCACGCGGTGTATATTTGGTTGCCTATAAAACAATCGTGCATTAATAGACAAATCGTCCATTAATAGGGGTCATTAATGAACGATTTCATATACATTAAACTTAGTCGTTGAAATTTCCTGCATTAATTTATGTTGATAAATTACATTTTTTTGATACACTTCTACATGTCTGATATTGTATAAAGGGTGTTTTCAGAGGGTTGATCATGATTTGTTGAAGATAACATTTTTCCTAATATTCTTTTTGATGGAGGGAAAAATACATAAAAACGGTACTATATTATCAAAATACAAAAATTGTATCCGTTTTCGAGATATTTGAGTTTTTGTATAGTGACATATGGCATCAGCAGATAAATTCATCATCAGTAATATAATTTCAGGAGGCTTCGAACTTCTTGGCCGGACACCATCTCTAATTTTCGTTCTAATACATTCTTTTTCACGCAATCTTTGCACAATCCTCAAAATTGTTCCAGATTCTGGAACGCGTCTACCGAGAGACGAATAAACTGCAATTTCTCAAAATCCCAGTTAAAAAACCCAGCAGTAATATTATTACTAAGCAAAGAATCTAAACAAGGAAATTAACAATAACGTTCATGTCATAAACGTCAAAATTAAAAATAATAATGATCATGAACGGCCTTCTAAAATATTGTTACCGATGAATTAATCTGCTGATATCATATGACTATATAAAGAAACTCAAATATCTCGAAAACGGTTACAATTTTTGCTTCTATCTTTTCACCAAAAAGAATACGAGTGAAAAACACCCATTATAACATTATCAGAAATGTAGAAGTTTAGTTTATTCATAGATCTAAATACACACATTTAGATCTATGGTTTATTCATCTAACTACACTTATTTTTCAATATACTATCACCTCCAGAAGGCTCTGGGGTAGGTACACATTTTTGACTCATCCTGTATAGATCGCGTTAACTCATGAAGATATACCCTGTATAACGGTAGATACTTCAAACGTCTATGAACAATTAGCCTTACATACCTCTAGAAGTTCAAGTCACTAAAAAGGGAGAGGAACAAAACTACTTTTTCGAAAATATTTGTCTGTGATAATAAAATGAAATTTTGTGTACCTACACTATACAGGGTGAACTTTTCATGCCCAGTACAGCCAAGAAAAAAAATAAACGTATTTGATATTTAGATATCTTCCCGATTTTTGTATGTATATTTTTTCGAATGACTATGAATCAATTGATCTTTCGATATAGGAAAGTAAAATGTACAATCATATATTGTTCCATTATGAGGAGGTGCCAATAAATATTACTCAGAAACAAAAGGGAACCTGTATTATTCATATTAAAGGATCCAAAATATCATATTGAACCAAATCGTTTTAGAAATTACATACGTGAAAAAAGTGATGGAGATATTTATGCTAGCCCTACCCTACCTGTATATACAGGGTGTTATTTAAGTACGTGGCCAAACTTGAAGGGGTGATTCTTTGAGTGATTCTAAGACGAAAAGTTCATATAAACATAGGTCCGGTAATGCTCCGTTTTCAAGATACAGGGTGTCAAAATTTTTAAAAGAAATCGTTTTTTTCGTAAATATCTTAATAACCCTTCAACCGATTTTATTGAAATTTGGCAGTGTTATTCAAGGTCGTAAAGGGCTAATTTAACCCTAACTATATCAAAATTATCATGTCCAGTGGCGTCCCGGAAGGCACTGTAACCAATATTTTTGACAGAAAAAATGTGCGCCACTGATTTTTTTGCAATTTTTATATTTGTTTCACATTGAGCAACTAAAATTACAACTTTTTTATATCCAGAATTTTTTTCGTATCTTGCTTTGTTTTTGAGAAAAAACATAAAAATCACTTCATTGCACATCCCTGTGACAACACAATAAAACATTTCAACTACTAAACCATCAAAAACTGGGGTCTTACTAATATTTTTTCATATTAATACTCTATTCTAGTCTTAGAATTTTCTATCAAAATTAATGCAATGAAAAAACAAAAAATATGTATGTATGAATTGCAGCACTTGCCTTCGAAAAAAACGATTTCTTTTAAAAATTTTGACACCCTGTATCTTGAAAACGAAGCATTACCGGACCTATGTTTATATGAACTTTTCGTCTTAGAATCACTCAAAGAATTACCCCTTCAAGTTTGGCCACGTACTTAAATAACACCCTGTATAATGTTGAAATACGTCTTGTTTCTTTCCTTATGGAATTGGGTAGGCATAGAAAGATCAGTGGTTGTACAAAATTTTATCATATGCCATTCAGTAAAAAAAATATGTTCCTGAAAAAACAGTTCTACCTCTCTGAGAGTGATAAATATCTCGACTAGAGGGGGAAAGATTAAAAACAACATGTTTATGTTTTTTTGTTCACATCCGGTATAATGTCCTTTGCTGGGATACCGCATCCAATTATCCAAATATACGAATTTAATTGATTTCCAGTAACAGTATTTCAAGAAAAGGGTACTTTCAATCCTGACATTTATCAGCAACTTCAAATCAATGAAGCAGTCATTGCAACCAGTACCAAATCATTCGACAGCATTGTTAGCTTGTATGAAGCCTTCACCGACCATAAGATCGACTCGAAATTGTTGGACCCAAAATCGGAATCCAGAACCGGCAGAAAAGCTAAGAAGGCCAAATCCGAGAAGCCTCCCAAGAAGGTCGAGGAGAAACCCAGCCGGGCATCTTCGAAAACGTCAGGCAAAGGAAGAAAATCACAGAGCTTGAAGGAAACCCAAAGTGGCTCAGCTTTGGAACCCCTAGTTAAGACTGTTGAAGACCCACAAGTTTATGGGATATGTGCTATTGACTTCCTTCCCCTTTTTCAAGGTACACTGCTGCCCAAATAAATCGTAACCACTCGTGTGATGATTTTATCGGAATATCAGCTTATGCCCACGGACTACTATATTTATCTTCATTACACAGCTCGACCGCGACGGTAGGTAGTTTATTCCTATACCTAAATCCTCTTATTCCTTTCCTGGTATGGTGTGAAGAAGCAGGTTGGATGAGTAGTGAAAATGTATTCTATAATTTGGTTGAATATCATTTATTTTAAAGTATATGGGAGCTTGTGACATAAGGTTTATGAAGAAATTCAATATTGTCAGAGTTTAGGATTCTGATGGGTATCGATATCCTCTGAAAATGTCGGTAGTTGAAACATTAATTATCGTTATTGAAACTATTTTGTCAAATTAAACGAAAAAATTGAATAATATGATTCGTAGAGTGCATTCTCTAAATGACTGTATGACACCTGTTAAATTTGATGACATTTATGATAGCAAAAATGATAACAAAAATATTTTCTATGTGCCATACAGTATAAATATTTATAATATCAAAATATTTAGAACAAGTCCTATATTTTTACAAGAATGTTTGCGAATCTGCGCAAAATCAACACCTTTTTCACTGTATGACACATAAAAAATATTTTTGTCATCATTTTTGTTAACATATTTGTCATCAAATTTAACAAGTGTCATACAGGAATAGATCTCGGAATAGATTCACTTTACACTGAGTGGACTATTTTTGATGTATGCGTTTTGCGTGAGAGTTTGATGTTCTTACAGAGTTTTCTTCCAATGACGTAACTGCAGCCGGCCGGCGGCAAAGCAGAAGCACATGCAGTATAGTCAGGGCCTACTCTAATAGATGAAGTCCGTCATTCCCTGAAATGCTTAGCCATTTCACGTATTGCAGCGTAAACTTCGTTTTCAGCCATTACACTGTTTGCCGGAAGGTTGAGGAAGGAAAATATCCTTTCTGCATAAGCATAAAAAAGAAGACTACTTTTCTCAAACAATCTAACCTGATTGGGCCTAAATGAACCTTCTTCCTAAATAGTATACCGGGTGGCTACGGAAGTATTGCCTACGGAATATCTCAGTTATTGTATGAAGTAGGTTTGTGAAATTTGAAGCGTCGATATAATGACATAAGAGCTAGAATTTGAGCATATTGACATGTCGAAGTTAACTTCCGGAAGTAACATCAACTTTCTTATTTCAAATGGAAACCCTATTTTTTTTTCTTTTACCTTTATTCAGCATTCAATTCCCTTTCTAATGACATATCACTAGTTGGTATCTAACCAGAAACTAGATCAGAAAAAAATTATTATTGAAATTCACCGAGTAGGCCGAGGCAGCAAAATGAATGCCAAAAAATGACTTTCTATTATTTCATTAGAAAGGAATGGTTATGCTGAATAGTACAGGCAAGAAAAGTGGTATGTTCCTATTTAAGTTATGGACCTACAGAGTATTGTTTTTTTCCCAATTTTTCCAATATTTTTTTGGCGGCTTTTTATAACGCCGACGAATGAAAATAAAATATCACAGTAGTAGCAAGTGACGTATGGTTTCCATAGCCAACTTTTCAGTTTTTGCCTTTCATTTTGCTTCCACGGCCTACTCTGTGAATTTCAATAATAATTTTTTTCTGATCTAGTTTCTGGTTAGATACCAACTTGTGATATGTCATTAAAAAGGGAATTGAATGCTGAATGAAGCGAAAAAAAAAATAGGGTTTCCATCTAAAATAAGAAAGTTGATGTTACTTCCGGTCAGACCGGAAGTTAACTTCGACATGTCAATATGCTCTAATTCTAGCTCTTATGTCATTATATCGACGCTCTAAATTTCACAAACCTACTTCATACAATAACTGAGATATTCCGTAGGCAATACTTCCGTAGCCACCCGGTATATATTTCGGAAAATTACTCGAGAGAACAAAAGAGACTACTGTTTCTAAACAACCTGACCGGACTCGGCCTAAATGAAACCTTCCTTCCGTAATTACTGAGAATACCTGGACTATTTGACAAGCAATGTACCAAACAGGGGCGTCCACATGGGTGGGGGCAAGGGGGGGGGCGAATGTGACATAAATTCTGACACATTATTTTGATCACTATAGTTATACTTCTCACAGCTTTTCATAATAAAATCCTTCATATCAATGAACTCCTGATGGAATCTATACGAAGGGTTTGAGTCGAATCGGTAAGTATGGTTGAATATTATAAGCAAATGATTATATTCGGTCAAACTGTAGTTCGATCAATTGATTTTTCGATCAATTTATTTTCGATCAAATAATGATGTTCGATTGAATGAAGTTCGATCTAATGATTTCGATCATTTTTCCGGCAACCAATTTGCACCCGATGAAATAATTATTTTTGATAAAACGTAGTGGAGTGAGAGTTGGGTTGTAACAAATTGCAGTATTTGCAGTAGCGAGGGTTATGATCATGCTTCGGTGGGCAAGTTGAAATGCTATTCAATTTATATAAATATATACATACTTCTAATATATATATGCTGTATAATGTGAGAATTTTATTTTATGTATTTTTTATCTTATATTTATATATTTTTTATCTTTGACTTAATGATTGGATTTCTCCACTTGTTAGTTTCTCACTTTATCAATAGGATGAATGGTTTTTGGACAACGAGGCTCAGTTATGATTGATTCATTGATTTGCATTTTTTATTATAAGTGATTTGATCTTTTCGAAAAAATTTATAATTATTGATAGTTGAATTCAAAATTATTATAGAAAATGTATATCTATATTTATACACGTTGAACTCTCAGTTGTCCCTAAATTGTTTCAATATCTTTCATCACCTTTCATTTGAGGAAGTTTACTTATTAAAATGGGGTGGGCAAAATAAATAGTGAGTCACTTTACCTGCTGTAATGAAATTTTGAGATACAGTGTGGATCTTTTTTTATCAAGATCTGCCTCTACATGATCATGAATATCAATTTTCTTGTTTTTAAGGTGAAAAATCATTCTCAGAAACGATGTTGATTAAACCAATCAAAGTTTATAAAGACGAGAAGATGAATTCCTATAAAGCTCATCCAAAAATAATCATAACAGTATCAATAAATGAAGAGTTGAATCTGACAAATGGAGTGATGATGAACTTTACTCTGGAGTCTATCTATAACATTCCTCAGTTGATGAAACCGGATATGGACTACAAGATATGTCACATGGTTTCATTGAATGAAACGGTAAAATCAATTACTATGTTAAATAAAGTGCTCAAAGAATTAAGTGGACCCACGAAAGTCTGAAAATCACTGAATCTTTGTCACTGTTCGTATAGATCAGAATAGTCCCCTCACGTCCCCTTGAATTGAGATATCTGAAAAATCTCGAAATTGTTTTGAGATATTGACCAGGGCAGCTGATCCTAATGAATTCTTGATATCAGTAGCATTTGGTTATGGCAGCATCAAACTGAACAGACGATTACACCAAGCTCTAAACATTTTTTTCAGAAGAAGGGAATTGTTTTCCTGTTGAAGATGATAATGATTTCGAAGCAATATATGAATTCATCTCCTAGGATGGGTTCAATGGTATAGCGGGGCAAAATGGTTTGGATATTGCCCGCCGAATGTTTGAATCTAATTCCATCATACTGTATGAGGAATATCGAAAATTCCGAAACCATTTCGAGATATCACATCAGGCGTTCAGAAACCAGGATTTGTAAAAAATAAAAAAAATCCTGTGGAATACGGTCGCACTCAACTTTTTCATTTGTGTAATACTTTTTTCAAACAGTTGGTGTCTCATGACTGGGAAATTTCGATGTGTTTTAAATGAAGAATCTTGAGAGAGGAAAAACGCAACTTTCAAACACTACTTTCCGGTTGAAAACCAATTCATTTTTAAAAAACATTATGGCAAATTCAAAATTGGCCAAAATTTATGTGGTCCACTAAACTCAGTGAGCACTTTATCATGGTCTTTGTAACAAAATAATTCATTCATTCTCAATAACAGCCTTGAACACATCAATTTTGACAGATTTATGACTTGCGAAATCAGATTGATATACAGGTACGCACGATGTGCCACAAACATTATAGGAATCTCCTTTCGTGCGCTCCAAGATATAAAAAAGAAACTTCGACAACCTTGGAAACATTTTTGATTTTGTATTCTGATCTCTCTGTTGAAATAAAAGCTCGTAACCGATATCCAAAAAAATTCACATCTTCATGTATATATTATTATATGATTTTTCCGTACTATGAAATGATTTATAAGATCATATTACCATCGTGCAGGTACCAAATTTCGTGATTCTAGGATCAATGGTGACAAAGATAATTGAAGAAAACTGCATTTCAACGGACTTCAGCCTCCATTTTGATAAGAACTTTTTTTATTTTTATCTGTAGAATTACCTCCTGGTGTATACGGATGTTATTTGATTCTAGGACACCCTGTATATTCGATTCCCCATGCTCTTATCGTCAGATGATGACCCTGACTACTACGAATAAAGATGTCATTCTAAGGCTGCATTGTTGTATCGATTCATGATTTTATTGTCAAAAAGGCTTCCTTGATTGAAACCGCACGAAAAATATTGTTACTGATTTTTCATTTCATTCTACTGAATGGCTTTGAATTTTTAGCTGAAAGTACCCATTTTGTTCACAAATCCGAAGCATACAACAGAAAACTGTGAAGCGCTCAATAGATGTTGGCCTGGTATGCAGAGAATAGGTCTAGATGCCAATACCACAAAATATAGGTTGATAATTATTATGGAACCATTTCTTATTATATCTTGATTTTTTGTCAAATCGAATCATTTTCACAGGGTGAGCACTGACAATGAAAATATTTTTTGTAAGTTCGAAGACGATATAATTCCTTATCTGGGAGAAAACAGCCCAAAACTGGAATTCAATATGATAAAACGCCATCTATTTGATCGAGGAGCACTGGTTGAATTTGCCTCCAATGTCAAAACGTACAGAAAAATCGTACTAGAATTCTTGATGACTGGCAAATCGGGAGTAAGCCCTATGGACTATAATTGAAAATTTGATCAAAAATCGGTACCTGCCTTTTCTAGAAACAGAGTAGCTTGAACGTAGCACAAGATGGAAGCTTCAAAGACAAATCCACAGCGAAGATGACTTCTGACAAGGGTAGCGAAAAATGGTCTATGAAAAAACTGAAACATCAGCCCTATTTGCATCTCATGGCAGTTGTAGATATATCTTCTCTACTATATCCTGGAGGTAGATATACAATAAGTTGAGTTAATGGATGTTTCACCTCATGAAACAGTGTTACGAAATCCGCATTTGGCAACCAATTTTTTTTCGCAGAAGAAATGCCATCAACACTTCAAAGTTATCACAATGTTGCAAAAATATTTCCAATTTTCGGGGCATGCTATAATTTTACACATCATGTTGAAGACGGCTAAATATTTTTAGCGATTTTTTGTTAGTAAAATTTTGACAATCACTGAAAATCCTTGATATTTCTCCAAGATGTTTCACGACCCATATTAATTTTTTGGAAAAAAATACACTGTTTACAAACATTTTTGAACTCTTGGGAAAATTATTACCAAAATTTGTTATCCTGTCAATGTTATGATTTAATTTGATAATAATTGGAGACACAAAGTAGATGAAGGATCTAAGTGTAATTTCCTCAAAGAATTTGATTCAATAGTGGATATCGATTTTTTTTTAATGATCTGGTTCCCACGAAAAGGAATATCCTGTAATGTTCAGGGAACATCGTGAGAACCAAGGAAAATGAGGTAGGAATTGGTGTTCTTCTTAAATTTCTGGAGGTTATATGCCTCGGGGAACACCTCCCTTGGCAATGTGTTCCAGAGCCTCGCTGTTCGTTGGATGAACGAGTCTTCGGAAAGAGATGTTCTGCAGGTCTCCAAAGTGACCACGAAAGGGTGCGAAGCCTCAACTATCGACGGGTTAATCTCGCGGGGACTGCCAAGGGAGGAACAATTGTTGATATTTCAGAACAGCATCGTCCATGAAAATATCTATAATATAGAGCCAGATCGCCAACTTTTCTACGGTGTTACAGAGAAATGAGTGAGTTTGTAAGCGAGGCATCACCCACGAGACGAATTGCCATTTTTGCACAGAATCCAAGAGTTTCAGGGTATGTTTGGGTGCTGCACTCCAAATATGGGAACAGTATTTCAGGACAGGTCGGATCTGTGCCTTATAGATCATAAGCAGCTGACTGTAAGTGAAATAGCTCCTGGCCGGAAACAGAAAACCAGGTTTTTGGGATGCACTTTTAACAATTGATCTCACGTGATTTTTCCAAGAAAGGTTATTGCTGATAGTAATACCAAGCATCGAAATGGATGTCTTCAAAGGTATGGTTACTCCTGACAAGCTTATGTTGGGCATAGTGAGATCGGCTTTTCTAGAGAAAAGGCATGCTTGTGTTTTGTTTGCATTGAAATCTACCAAGCTATTGGATCCCCATTCGAGAATTGTTGCCAAGTCCATATTTATGTTGTCAACATTTCTCCCTCGTTCGTTTCTGATTTGCCTGGCTGGTATTGGAGCCCTGGAAGAGAAGGCGGTATGGGGGTTACTATCATCCGCGAAGCTGTGTACTGGACATGAAGTTGCTTCCAACAAATCGTTGATATGGAGAGACTTTTTTAGTTTGGGTTCTATATCCCAGTAAACATGAGACATTTATGAAATATTTCAAGATTACCTAAAATGTTAATGATTGAAACATTTTTCAGGAACATTCCAGAGATATTGCAGAATTACTGTAACATTCCTGAAATATTTCAAAACAACTATAATTGATATATTCCGAAACATTTCGAAATTACTTGTGAAGTGAATGAATGAAACATTCCAAGATAACTTTGATTGTGAATAATTGAAACATATCATTTACTACCTATTCTGGAATGTTTCGATGCGTTCGAAATATGTTTGAAACGTTTCAAGGTACCTCAAACTATTGATATTTTGAAACATTTCAAATATACTCTCATTGCGAATTACTTCAATGTATCAAGACAACTTGAATGGCTTGATTGAGGAATAGTTTCAAAATCACCTGAATTTTAAATGATTGGAACATTTCAATATGACTCTCATTCTGAATGATGGAAACATTTTTCAGGAACATTCCAGGGATGTTGCAAAATCACTGTAATATTCCTGAAATATTTCAAAACAACTATAATGGATATATTCCAAAACATTTCGAAATTACTTGTGAAGTGAATGAATGGAACATTCCAAGATAACTTTGATTGTGAATAATTGAAACATATCATTTACTACCTATTCTGGAATGTTTCAATGCGTTCGAAATATGTTTGAAACGTTCCAAGGTACCTCAAACTATTGATATTTTGAAACATTTCAAATATATTCTCATTGCGAATTACTTCAATGTATCAAGACAACTTGAATGGCTTGATTGAGGAATATTTCAAAATCACCTGAATTTTAAATGATTGGAACATTTCAATATGACTCTCATTCTGAATGATAGAAACATTTTTCAGGAACATTCCAGGGATGTTGCAAAATCACTGTAATATTCCTGAAATATTTCAAAACAACTATAATGGATATATTCCAAAACATTTCGAAATCACTTGAGAAGTGAATGAATGAAACATTTCAAAAAAAAAAAATTGGTAGTGAATAATTGAAACATATCATCTACTACTTATTCAGGAATGTTTCAATGCGTTCGAAATATGTATGAAACGTTTCAAGGTACCTCAAACTATTGAGATTTTGAAATATTTCAAATATACTCTCATTGCGAATTACTTCAATATTTCAAGACTTGAATTGCTTGATTGAAGAACATTTCAAAATCACCTGAATTTTAAATGATTGGAACATTTCGATATGACTCTCATCCTGAATGATGGAAACATTTTTCAGGAACATTCCAGGAATATTTCAAAATCTTTGTACCATTTCTGAAACATTTCAAGACAACTTCAACTGATATATTCCGAAACATTTCAAAATTTCTTGGATAATTAATGAATGAAACGTTTCAAAATTTCTTCAATTGTGGATAATTGAAACATATCATTTTCTACTTATTCAGGAATGTTCCAATGCGTTCGGAATATGTTTGGAACATTTCAAGGTTCATCAAACTATAGAAATTTTGAAACATTCCAAATATAATCTCATTGCGAATTACTGCAATATCAAAAGACAACTGATATTTGTTGATTAAGGAACATTTCAGAATCTCCTGAATTTCAAATGGTTGGAACATTTCGATATTACTCTCATTCCGAATAATGGAAACATTCATCAGGAACATTCCAGGGATATTTCAATATCATTGCAACATTTCTGAAACATTTCAAGACAACTTTGGTTGATATATTCCGAAACATTCCAAAATTACTTGAATGATTAATTAATGAAACGTTTCAAAATCACTTCAATTGAAACATATCATTCAATACTGATTCAGGAATGTTCCAATGCGTTAGGAATATGTTTGAAAAATTCCAAGGCTCCTCAAATTATTGACATTTTGACACATTTATTAGAAATTACTTACCTACTACAATATTCCAAGACATGCAACTTGAATTGGTTAATTTAAGAATATTTCAAAATAACCTGAATTTTAATAAATTAATTAGATTATTTCACAACTATTACATGGTCTATTTTGACCAAGCATTTTATCATATTATGATGCAATTCAGCATTTCCCCTCTACAGCCGCCGCTTTCGTGGCTTCGGTAATCGATCGCGGGTTCCCGTCTTCGGCTCTAAGCGTTCGCGCACGCGCATTCAGTTTCCTTCTCCTTGGTGAGAGGCTTTGCAGTTTTTGCTTTCTGACTGTTGTCTCAAGCCAAGCAAAGCAAAGGACATCTAATATCTTATAATAGTGATAAAATATAATTATTTCACTCAAGTCAAACACATTTTCGAGTGTTTACTATTTAATTGTACTGGTAGACCTCTTAGGTGATTTAGGCCATGTGAAGTAACATCAAAACTTGCAACCAAACAAACAACACAAACGACTCCATTTTTTTTATCATCACCTGGTGTGGCTGGACTTTGAAATGTATTCAACGGCTCCATGGACAAGGCCGAGGTACGTATAAATATAGAAAAACCATAATTTCAGATGAAATATCAAATATTATTAGATATCATGATGGGTATATTCATAATGATACTTTTTGTTCTAGGATGGAGTGTGAAAATTTCATCATGACTTAGAAGCTGCACAAGAATAGTGCTTTCAATTGCGATGTAACCGAAAAAAAATATTGAAGCACTCAACATGTGAATAACGATGTTAAATTACTTGATATATATGTACATACCTAATACGTCGTGATTATGTGAAATATCTGATGATACTTTTTCAACTGCTTTTTTCATATATCATTATATAAGCAATATAATCCATTTTTTTATGTCTATTATCTTTTATTTTACCAGCAATATGAATATATGCCAGCGATATTGGTAGGTATTTTTCATTCTGAAACATTCAATGGGAATGTTTCATAAACAGTAATATTGTTGAATGAAAAACATTCATGAAATATTTCATGAAACATTCCCGAAAGTTCTACAATGAATGTACCCAGGATGTTTCTATATATATGTATTTGAAACATTATTTATGAAACATCTCTGGTGGCGAAAATTTATCGTTTCAAAAATATTCATGGAATGTACCAAGAAACATTCCTAAAGATCTATTCATATCGGGAATGTTTCCAGAATGTTTCAAGCATTTGTATTCGAAACTTCATCCATGAAACAGTTTTGAGGGCAAATATCTTTGGTTTCACGAATATTTCTGAAACATTTCATGTAATATAACGAAAGAAATATTTATGAAATATTGCATGGAACATTCCTACAGGATATGATCATGGTAGAAATGTTTCCAAAATGTTTCAATTTGCGTATTCGACACATTATTTAGGAACATTACCATGAAACATTCCTGAAGGCGGACATCTCTAGTTTCTGGAATGTTTCTGGAACATGTAGGCAACTTTGAATGCAATGTTTCATGCATCAATACTACGTTTCTGAAACATTTCAGAAACAAAAAAATGTTTACTGGGATCCTTCTATATCGTACTATGAATGTGGAAGTTGAAAGTTGATGAAGGGTTCAGGTACACCTATTAGTTGAGGAATTGAATATACAAAGTGAAGGAAATAATTCCATGGCTTATTTTGGGTTCCTTGAACTCATATCTCAGTTACACCCGGTATAGGGACTATTCGAATTTGTCTTATCAAAGTGTTTTTCAGTGACAAGAGTTCGAGTCGCAAGTCCGCTGACTACCTTCAGTCCAGAAGAAGCCCTCAAATATGGTGGCCTTGAAGACTCATATTTCCTTCCCTCGGATAAGAAGGAGGCGAAAGATATTACTTCAAAGGAACTTTTGTCAAAGAAAGATAAATCTAAAGTGAAAGAAAATAAGTCAAGCAAAAGTTCGAAGTCTTCCAAGAAGGGTGGCAAAAAGGATACTAGTCCTGATAAGGACATGAAAAGGGTATTTACACAGGGTGTTAAGAAACAAATGAAAATGGCTATATCACGAACTTGACCCTTAACTGGTATCGTGTTTTCCCGAAACGTAACTGTTATCGTAGGGTATTTCATAACCCCATTTTTCATTACCTAGGTGATATATATACAGGGTGTCCCTAGACCAGTGGGACAGTTAAATATCTTCTGAACCAATAGGAATTTTCAAAATATTATAATTTCACATCATAGCGCATTATGAGTGCTAACTTCAGGAATGACTATATTTTATACGAGGGGAGCAAGAAAGGCTCACAATATCGAACATCAATTTTTTCAAATGGAACACCCTGTATTCCACTGCATTTTCATATTCTCCTTGAAGAGCTGAGTTCAACGACCTAGCACACTTGAGGTCTAGCGGGAATGATTTCCGAGATATAGGGTGTGGAAAATCGAGATTTTTCATCTTTGGCAATTTTTTGTGTCGAAAGTATTCATTATTGGTCAAAACGGCTTACATGTCCATATCTTAACTTTCAATTTACTATTTACTCGTATTTAATTGAAACAAATACAGGGTGGTGTAGATTATTAACAGTTTCAGTCAGAATTCTACACCACCCTGTATTTGTTCCAATTAAATACGAGTAAATAGTAAATCAAAAGTTAAGACATGGACATGAAAGCCGTTTTGACCAATAATGAATAGTTTCGACAAAAAAAATTCCCAAAATTGAAAAATCTCGATTTTCCACACCCTATATCTCGGAAATTATTTACGCTAGAGCCCAAGTGTGCTAGGTCGTTGAATTCAGCTCTCCAAGAAGATTATGAAAACGCAATGAAATACAGGGTGTTCCATTTGAAAAAATTGATGCTCGATTTTGTGAGCCTTTCTTGCGCACCTCGTATAAAATATAGTCATTCCTGAAGTTAGCACTCATAATGCGATATGATGTGAAATTATAATATTTTGAAAATTCCTATTGGTTCAGGAGATATTCAACTGTCCCATTGGTCTAGGGACACCCTGTATATACAATGCAAAACACATGACTTCAAAAATGTTGCTATTTTGTGAAAAAATCTGATCATGAAAACTATGATCCTCAAAAAAACTCGATTCATATATGAATCAACAGATTCCTGTATTTTATTGGATTCCATACATTTTTCGTTTATGCCAATTCATACTTTTTTTTTTTTGATGTATGATAAATTGACATCCATCATACAGGACATGGAAGGAAATTATAAATTGAAGAAAAACAATCACGAATCTGCGATTGAGGTCTATAAAAATAACAAGTTTCCATCGTTCGGAAACAAATCCAACTTTCGCAGCTTCTTCCATTATCTCTGGCGGTGTATTTATCAAAATCGTCACATCTCGGTATATACTATATACATCATATTATTTATTATGAATTGTTGGAATAATATTTGATGGAAAATGCGATTTCTATCAAAAGCACTAATGAGAACTACCCCAAAAAATTTAATAAACTTCTTCTGACATTTGTGACAACTATTCAAAGCTGAACAGCAGCCAAGTTTTGGTCGATTTTTGTTGATTCTCCATGGAAATGTATGTGGTGTTGGCAAAGTGCCGTGAGAAAAAATATTCCTCACAGTATGAGCAATACATGGTTTTGAAACTAAGTTAGCTATTAGAAATGTGCTACTTTTAATAGCAGTAGTAGAAAAAATGAATAACCATATTCTTCGGAGTCTGAAAATCACTTGAAATGTATGGAAAGTAGTCGCTATTGCCGCCTGTGATGAAAAAAAGAGATTCGATTGATAGTAAAAAACTGTCAGGGGTATAAGTTGCACAACCTAATCACTCTTATTTTCGAAACTGTTTAATTTTTGCAAACAAAATCACTACGATTTCACGAATTATCACGAACTTAGAAGAATACCTGAAACAACAATTCACCAAGTTTATCGAGAGTACGTAGCAAACAATTTTGGTCGGCCTTATGCTGGCCAGGACGGCAAAATTCCTGTGGATATTGATGGGCCAGTGCATTCAAATTAAAAAAAGACCACCGCTACGGGATTCGAACCCCAGTCCTCCGCTATCACTTGGTTACAAATTGAACTTATATTTCAACTGAGCTACTACACCTTTATTGAAATGATATGTGTATACGGAATTTATTTGAGGTTCACTTGAATAGGAATATTTCATTGATAAACATCATAATTATAACAGATTTATACAAACGATGAACAAGGAAAACCATCCGATTCTCCGATTGACTACCGAATTTCTTGTCATATATACCTACCTATTTTATGAGCCAGACGACTTGCCTATTCTGTTTATGGCGGAGTTTGATGCAAAATGGTAGAATAGCGCAAAAATTAGATATTTCAATGGAAACTGAAATATAAGCATACGCTATTTGGCACGGTACCGGCTAAATTATAGTTAAATGATTTCAATATGCCATGTAATGGGTAGACGATTTTATGACGTAGGTTAAAACATAATACGAATTGACACTATTGGCCCAGTTCCGGCTGAATTCTAGGCAAACTATTACATTATCCCATACAATGAGCCGACGTTAGACCAGTACAGATTAACCATGGCCAGCAATCTGCCGATCTATCATGTACTGGGCCAGAAGGCGGCCAGAGATTTGATGTTTGCTGGGTATAATATTTTCGCATAATTATCACTAGTGGGGTTCTGAAACACCCCACTATACCAGTTATTAAGGGTTGAAATTTGAAATCGTCCAGTAGTATTTTAATATAGGTAATGTAGTAGGTACTTTATCTTCTAGTTATTACCTCCAAAACCAGAGTTATTACCAGAGCCTGAACCCAGTGAACCAGTTTTCAATGAAGATGGAAAACCATGTTTTGTTATAGTGGAAATAGAACTATCAAAACCTATCATTCCAAAACGAGAAATAAAAGATGTAAAAGAAGAGTAAGATAATTTTAAATGATGTGAATAATTTGTGCAATATAATCATAACTTAATCTTCAGAATTCACCAGCTGTTACAGAAAAAGATACATCCTTCACCAAAAATTGTTTTGAGTAATTGCCTAACCAAGGAATACTACAAAGAAGTGTTGAATGACATCATTGAAGATATGAATGATAAATTCCAGAGATTTTTAGAAGAAAATCCAAATTATAGAGGTTTGTATATTATAGACGCAGTCCCGTATAAAAACGAACTTTATAGGGATGTTCTAAACTATTCGAGAGTAGGTAATTATAATTCCAATAGAGCTGACATCACATCAGGACTCTGAATAGTTTCTAACTAAATACAATTCTTGTCCACAAAAATACCTGTTCTGGTAGTTTTGGTTTTATTATTTTGTAGCACAGAATGGAATTTTCGAATATCTAGACATTTCAAATCAATCAAAATGACAATGTTTTACTGGCGCGACAAAATTGAATTGTATCACTCTTTGTACAGAATGTCTGTATATTTCGAAACCCATATACATCAGTTCTTTCCAAAAAATTAAATATAAGAGTTTGAAGGTTTATCCAAACTATTTTCATTTTTTGGTGTCAAAACAAACATTGAGAAATTTGACGAATCATTAACTTTGTTGGTATTAGATCTAGTTCTAGCTGTCATACTTTTCTATATTTTCGACCTTGAAAATGGTCTAACAATACCTATTCATTCTTTATGATGATACCAACTGAAGTCAAATTTCAATAATGGTAATGAAAGAACATTCATATAATATCAATAATGGTAATAACGGACAATTTGTCATAGATCTACAGCCAAAGCGTACAGCACTCTAGTCAGCAACATGCTTTGAAATTACACCATTGAAAAATATTTATTTTGACATTTCGACACAACTAATGGACGGTTCGGAAAAAACTGAGGACACCGAGGTGTTCAATATTATCTGAGACAAGTAAACCTCACCGTTCTTATACAGAGTGTCCTTGAAGGGTCTGTATAAAATGTTAGCACACATTCCTGAGGTCAAAATAAGCTGATATAAAGCAACTTACCAAAGTACGAAATTGCTTCGTTTCCGAGATACAGGGTGGTAAAGACAAAAAAAAAACGACAAAAGCACACTCCAAGAAGGTATTTTAAAAAATCCATTTTTGCACTGCTAAATCACAGACCAAACAACATCCAAGAAGATGACAGCCCACTTTTTATATTCATAATAATTCAAATATTTCGGTGCGGCATCGAACAATGAAAACCAAAATATCTCGAAATCGGCTTAGTTTAGCAGATTCTTACAAAAGTACCTTTTTTGCTTAAATACGCCCAGAAAATAATTTTCTCAATCGAAAAAGTAAAAAACTACACTTGGAAAAAATGTATGGCCATTCTAAACCATAAGAAGTGCATTTGTAAGCGCCCTCTGCAACAGTGAAAAGGTGTCCGTATTCCGCGGTTTCGCATCCCAAAGAAAACCCGCGGATACCAATTTTTGAAGTTGTGCAAGGTGTTATAGTTGGGGCTGGAAGAATCAAGAAAACACAACTGATCTCTGGTTCCACAAAAGATGTATTAAAAAAAAAAACTTGCGACAGTTACCACAAAAAGCCGGTTGACATCGGCATACAGGAATTACATTCAGTGCGGTGTCGAGTGATAATCTACCTTTATTTCGAACAATCTCCTATTTTATAGCTGACGCATAAAGACGCCTAAGTGTCACCAAGACGCCGTCGTATAGTAATAAAATCAGTAGCACCTCGTAGAGGGTGTGAAGGGTACTTCACAACAAGGGTGTCGCCTTATATTTTGACCACTACCTACAGCTTCAACTTTACGAGGTGGAAAATAAAACTTCAAATACCTATCAAAGTTGTAGGGTTTTATCTGTACTATCTTTTTGGCACTCCTTAAATAAACATATGCGAATCGCAAAATGGGTCGAGGTCAAAATGAAAAGTATCTCTGAAACAGAGCTATTCCGGACTAAGATAAGTTGCATTAAATCGGCCAATTTTGACCTCAGTAATATGTGCTGAGATTTTCTACAGACCTTCTAGGGAGACCCTATATATAATAATTATTGCTGTTTTTATCAATCTGCCAATTTATTAGGTATTTGTATGTGTCCTTCAAAACGCTGTAGATCGAGGCGTGTAACGTCCTGAAAATACATCGAGCCGAATTATATATCTGTTATTGAATGATTTGGATGATCGAGACAAAAAGTCAATTGAAAAATGACTGCCGGAGCTTGACTGACGCATTTCAATAATTGAAACATCACTTGCTTGTTTGAATCGAATTAGAAATATTCAAGAAAACATGCAAATAGTTGGTACCTATCTAACTAAAAATCGATACTTTGTGTATCCCTAAGAAGCTTCTATAATCATTATTCCATGAAATATTTCAGTTCGAAGTTACAAAACTCCGTCCGATTTCGTGAAATTCCTACAAACAATTGGATCGTATCAGCCCTACCTAACCTCAATCACCAAAGCTGCCACTCTACTCGTCACCAACCACTTCAAATGCGATAACGCTATGGAAAAGAAGAACACACAATTGCATCAGAACTTCATCGGCAAAGTGTTCATTCACTTGATATCAGAAATGAACAGTACGGTCAACAAATTGGTATCACACGGAATGCAGCCTCTTCCGAAAGAGGTCGTATCCAACGAGATGTTTCTTTATGCCAAAGAAGCATTGGAATTGACGAAAACTTCCGTAGCCGAAAGATATTTCCTGAGGGTTTGTAACTGTTCAAGATACTGTCCTACCAACATACATTACTATAACTAGGCCGCTATAATGTCATAAGAGCTTGGTTCGAACTTGATCCAATGACCATTATAGGATTCTGCACCCGTCCCAATTCTCACTGGCTTATATAAATACACCTATCACAACCAATAATTGAACGGTGCCAAATCGCGTAGTATAATGTTCGAACATTGCCCAAATCGGTAGTGGAATGTTATTATAGTGAGTTCACGGTGCCGAGATCCGATGTTGAATGTAAAAGCGGTACTGGAAAGCTGGGTGGAATGTCAATTCATAATTCACTATTCACATGCCCCCTAAACTTTCATAAATTGATTATATAAATATTGAACGTTGTGATAATGATAATTTCACCTCGAATTTTACTATACGATTGACAATATTATTTGTCATTTGGCCTTTCTTTATTTATATTTATAGAACTACAGTTTTTCTTCTTCAACCATGGTTTTTTCCAAATGGTGGGGTAGTAAAAAAGGAAAATCTGAAAATACCCAATGTCCTGCAGGGATAGCTATAACCATTAGAGAATCACAAAGGATACGCAGAAGAAAGACACGCATGTTAAATTGAATCAATCAATAATCTTCTTATAACAAAAAAAACAAAAAATAGTAGGCCGATTTTTATTTTTTCCATTTGTTGGTAGGTAATGCATTTGTCTTAAAAATAAAGAGGTGAAAATTTTTTCAAAGCCTCCTTGATGGTGGTGGAATAACTCGAACCATGATTTATTCTTAATTTTTGACTCACCCTGTGTGTTAATTGAGTAATGGTATACAAAGTGCTCACACCCTATACGAAAGAGGCTTCTTTTGCGAGCATTTTGTTTTTTTATTCATTGATTTATCTCTGAAATTTTCCGAATTACAGCTTTTTTGCTGATACCTTACGCTTATCCCACAAATTAAATTTATTGAAGGATCAGAGTACTCAAAATTGATTGGGTTGTACTCTGGTAGGATCACATTGTCGTTAAAGACACAAATGTCGTTGCCATAGCAACTAATTTGCCTCCATATTTGACCATTTGTCGTTGTGTCATTGTGTCTTGTTTTATTGACTAAAATTACATAAAATGCCTCAAATAAATCCTGAACAAGTAGCAAGATTAGTTGCGTTAGTAAACGATGGGCGTAGTAAACGTTACGCCGCTCGTGCAGTGGGAGCTCATGAAGCAACTGCTCGTAGAGCAATCCGCAAGTACGAACAAACATGAAGCACGGCTCAGAGGGTCGGTTCTGGTCACCCCCGAAAAACTTCTCCAAGAGATGATCGCTTATTCTTGATATTGCGGATTTTACGGAATCGATCAAATACTGCAGTAAATGTTCAGCAAGATCTTCGCCAAATTCGTGATGTTGCAGTAAGTAAGCAGACGGTATGTAGGCGTCTGAAAGAAGTTAATTCAGAAGATAGGAGACCTGCAAAAGGTCCCAAATTATTGCCCGAACATCGTGCTGCTAGAAGAAATTTTGTTGAAAATTATGGACAGTGGAATATTCCTGAATGGTCGAATGTCTTGTTTACGGATGAGTCAAGGTTTTGCCTTAACATGGTGGATGGAAGAAAGAGAGTGTGGAGAAGAACTGGTGAACGGTTCAATCATAATTTAATAACAGAATGCGAAAGTTTTAATGGGTGGGTCCGTTATGGTGTGGGGAGGGATTTCAATGAATGGAAAGACGCCCCTTCATGTTTTTCCGGTGAGGCAGTCGATGAATGTCCAAATTTACATTGACATTTCAGAGCAGTATGTCTTACCTTATGCAGAGTTAGTGGGCAATAATTTTATATTGATGCAGGATAATGCCCGACCACACACCGCAGGAATAGTGCGAAACTTCTTAGAAGCTACTGGTATTACCACATTACAATGGCCTGCGAGAAGCCCCGATATGAATCCTATAGAACATTTGTGCGATGAATTAGGGAGAAGGGTCGTTACGTTCTCGCGAGAGGTCTCCGGAAAGTCTCGCAGAAATGGCAGATGCATTAGTGGAAAAATGGGATCGTATACCAATGGAAACAATAAGCAACTTAATTTCCAGCATGCCTCGTAGATTAAAAGTTCTCAGAGTTGCTAGAGGAGGCAATACACTGTATTAAGCAGTCATCCCAATTCATAATTTTGTGTTTAATGAAAATGTTTCTTAAAATTATTGGTATCAGTTTATTTCATTAGAGAATTGTTTCTCGATGAATTCAGAAAGTTGGTAATCTGCAAGGATTCAGCAAAAAAAGCTGTAATTCGGAAAATTTTAGAGATAAATCAATGAATAAAAAAACAAAATGCTCGCAAAAGAAGCCTCTTTCGTATAGGGTGTAAGCACTTTCTATGCCATTACTCAATTAACACACAGGGTGAGTCAAAAATTAAAATGACTCTAAAAATTCAATTGTCTCAAAATGTTCCCTTATGATTTGTGGCTCATTGCTTATAATAAATTTATGTAAATAATAATTATATTAATTCATCACACTAGGCGACATTTGAATCGATGAACGTGACAACCCCGCGCACGACCTGTGGGCGTAGTCTTGTTATTTCTCAGCATTCAGCACAATCTTGCCAAGTCTCCAACATTCACATGATATTTTAGAAATATTTGGACATGCTGGTTGCTCCAAAAAAGGAAGAATGATCTATAATGTCATGAGTTCCTCCGATTATGTTCTATTCAACGACAGGACTCTTACATCTTTTTGATAACTTGAATATAATTGGTGACTTGACAACCTTGCATGCATGAGTGGAAATGGAAGATTATCTGAAAAATAACGAAACAGCATAAAAACTGACGTCACCATTTATTCGACGTATCGCCAAATGGCGGCCATGACGTTACGTTTGGAATGAGCTCTGAAATTCAACGATTTTGAACAACGCATAGACTTATTATTTACATAAAACGCGTGTGAAGAGTTGCAAAAATTAATTTAGGTTCCTAACAACACAGTGGAGTAATTGAATGCCAATAATTCATTATCAGTTCACTGGCCCATTGTCTAGGGCATGTTGAAAACCCATAAAAATCATGACTTGAACGATGATTAACGGCCCGTCTAAGAAATGTTATTATTTGATTTATTCTCGATATTGCTTTGTCATTCTCAAACACTTTACATTTGTTTCAAGGTTCTTTGTAGCGATAAAAATAATGCCGACTACTGGTTCGATTATGCCGTATATTATCTTGAGACCAAGGAGGAAGATAAAGCCTACGAATGTTTGCAAGAGGCTCTTTTGAAAAATGCTAACCACAATTACAGGTACAAAAATAGTAGTTATATTACATTATTTTATACACAATTGAAGTGACACTCTTGTGACATGGGCATAATCAATCGTAACTCTGCAACTTTATTCATTTCAGTATTCTATTATTTGCAATACTTTTGGATCGAAAAGGTCAAAAGGAAGAAGCTGAGAGTTGTTTTTTGAATCTGATGGTTCAAGAACCAAAATGGCTAGAAGGTTAAGCTCTTCTTTCATTGAGTTTATAACTTTAACATACCTTGTTTCTTCATTTGGGTAGCCTGGGGTATTCTTTATATATTCTATCGGAAATATGAGAAATATGAAGGAATGGACGTAGCAATCGAAATGGCAAAAAAATTACTCGACGACATTCGAAAACCAACGAGCTATTTTGACGAATTCGAAGATCTAGCTTGGACTCCAAAAATTTGCCCTAGAACAGTATTTTTCAGAACCGCCATATTGCTGGTGAAAATGCGAGTATATAATGTAAGTAAAAATTCTCCTACGCAATTGTTTGCGCCGTCTAGTGTCAAATATTAAAACCGCTTAGGAATTTATAATTGTTTTTTGCAAAATCTGGCTATATCTCTGAAGACATTACATTGTTCTTGCCAGTCTGGTAGATTACTTGTGATGTCTTCCCGAGCCCAATGCTTTGTTTTAGACCTCTTCTTTTTCGTAAAATGAGACAAAGGATATTCTCCATTGTAACTATTTCGTCATCGTCGGAGTCTTTATCGGTGACATCTTCATTAGCGTTGGTTAGAGCAAAGCTATGGCGTCTGATAGTTTTGCATGATCATTGCAATGCTCCATTTCGTCTAACAACTCATTGAGTGACAAAGGTTTTTTCCAATAACTGGAAATTATAATAGTATGCTCTCAAACCACTGGCCTTTAAAAAGGACGGTGACGTTTGTAGGGTTATGTAGGAAAAATTAACAAGTGAAATGACTTATTGATGATCAACATGTGAAGATTAGACTATACTCAATCAGTATTTCATAGTTAACAATATATATTAGTTTCAATAACGGTAAAAACTGCAGAGAAAACAAACGATAATATTTGTTGATCAAGATTTGCGATATCGGTAATGTGCAGAATATATCCAAGGTATCCTACTATATCAACATACTATAGCGCCATCTCAATACAAGTAGTTGAAACTGATGAAATATGAAAATTTCTTCAATGACCTTTTAAAAGGACGTTGGTGGCATTTGGGTTCAAAAATTTCTATCGCAAATACGTTATAAGCTATACAAAATGTTATTTGAAATATCGTTTGTAGTGGGCTGAAATGGCGTTATCTGAAGAAATGAAGAAAAACTATGGACTTGTCAATTACTTACTATCAGCTATTTGTTACTATCGAAAACTATATTCACATGCTTTGGAGCACATAGAAGAAACCAAAGAGCATTATGGATCGGTTCGTTAGGAAAAAAAAATAGTTGCATGTTTACTAATTTTTCCAACTTCCAAGGACTACGCTGTTGCTGCTCTTTCAGGCCATTGCCTACTTGCATTGAATAAGAAAGAAGAAGCGAAGAAAGAATACTACCATGTTCTGGAATCTTTCGGTAGGCCGGACAATATACACCTCGTATACATTAATTGTGCTCGAATTCTGGAACATATGGGGGATGATCAGGAAGCCAGAAAATTGATTTTGCTGGCCTGTAAATTCAAACCTACCCCTTATACTTGGTTGAAGGCCGGTCTACTGTACTTCCAAGTGAGTTAATTAATTTTTAGAGAATGAATGTAATGGCCAGTTGATAACAGCATAAAGCAACTTGAAATCGTTTCACATATTGTGGACCTAATAATAATAATAATGATTTTTTAATGGCAGAGGAATCCTCGATATTACTCCCATTTGGTGAGACTGGTATAATCGGAGATTCAACTATATCATTTATAATACATTCCAGTTAAGAATAAAGTGGATAGTGATAGATAGTGTTTGACCTCGCTTTCCATTGGTTCATACTAGTTTGGTTTAGACGCTAGGCGTGTTTACAGTATATCAGAGATTAAAATGCTTAGATTATATGAACAATGGGAACGGTTAGGTGACCGGGCGGCTGTTTATGAACAGGAAAAAAATCAGAAGTTGGGACGTTAGTATCAATCAGTGGCAAATTCTAGGTTTTAAAACCTCAAGACCGCTAATAAAATTGAAAGTTGACAAGGACTTACATCAAAATTCAATGACTATTTCAGGAAAACGACTTGTTGAGTGCCGAAGAATGCTTCAATGAGGGTAATTTGATAGATCATCGCCATCCTGAGTTATGGGGTAATTTATGTTTGGTCAATTTGAAATTGAATAGGCCGTTTGAAGCCGAATTATGTTATCAACAACTATTAAATGTGAGTATATAAAAAAATCTGCTACAAAAGTGATACACTTATCAAATGTGTGTAGGCAAAGACCTTTGAACCATATTATGGACCCAAGGCCTGTTTGACAGTTACTGTTTAAAAAAAATGACATATTCAGTCATATACACGATGTCCCAAATTCACTAGAAAATATCATGTATTGCCACAGCTAATTTGATGGTGATAGTGAATTCAATGAAAAATCAGGCTCAAAACTGCAATTAATGTTTCCAAATTATTTGGAGTAGGCATAGATTAAAGTCCTCAAAATGTTTGCATAACCTATCTTTTATGTCTATTTACTGTTATATCTCAGAAACGGTTGATCATGAGAAGAGGAGTCTTTGACATTTCAAAATCAACACTTTCTCATAAACTTTTCAAGTCTTTTTTAGACTAATTTCATACTTTGAAATATACTTACTTTATATTCATTTTCTACTGATGTATCATACATATGGTTTTTACCCAGCAAACACACTTACATCTTGAAGATGTTTTTGCGATGTCTCATCTAGGCCTGTGATGTTGCATTGTAATAAGTTGCGAGGATGTAGAAGTTACATTTCCGTCAAACATGAGTGAAAAACATTCTCGGACACAATACCTACACAATGATCACATGCTTTTCCCTAGTTTGAGGCCTTAAGAAATTCATAGAAAAAATAAAAATAGCTTGCCCCTTCCGGTATTCTATGCCGGAGGACACCAGGAGTTGTGAATGTTCAACTTGAAACCATAACATCAGAGATAGGTACTATAATCTCGAATTACTCATCATACATATTCTATAATATTGTGAAGTCGATGAAATATTTTACAATAAAATAAGACATCGCAGAGATATCAAAATTCGATATCTAACGAAAATATCGCAGTATCATATCGATGGCATGTAACAATTTTACATCGCAGTTATATCAGAATCCAGCTATTACTGATTTAGATAAATTATATAGGGCTGTCACAGTGTATAGCAGTAATATCAGCAATATGAAATCGCAGAGATATCTAAATATAGATCTTGATGTCTAAAGGATAACTCAGTATGACGTCTATAGCAAGTAACAATTCAACATCGCAGTCAGATAGATATCGCAGTAGTGTCAACGATTTTATATCACAAGGACATCTAAATCGCAATTTTAAGATATCGACTTCCCTGAGATGAGGATGTTTGATTTTGTATACCATCATAATGGAATAAATACTGAAGGTAGCAGTTGACTGTCTTGGTCAAAGATGATCAAATTATCAGAGCTTTGACATTTTTTGTTTCAAAATCCTTGTCCAACCTTTGATCAACGATATTTTCAATAATTTGATGCACGTTACTAATGTTTCAACTATTATTTTTCAGAACCATCTAGAAGATGAAGATCTCTTGGAGACTATAAGGGTAGAATTTGAAAAACTGAAACATCCAGTAACAAGCTCATAAGTTTATTTCAATAAAATCAGAACATTACATATAAATTATGAATAAATAAAATATAAGTTGGTGTATAATAAAATTTTTGGTTAATATGTATAAAGGGTACAACATAGTACAACAAATAATAGACATAAAAATATCATCTGTAGTAACAATTGTCAATAATTATCACAAGCAAAAGCCAAATAATAGTAATAAAAAAAACATTTTAAATCAATAACCAGTAACGGTTCAGTGATTTTTACGTGATTTTTACCTAGCTGAAAAGTTGAAAAACAATTTGTTATCACAATCAATAATTAAGCACTAAGAATAAAAATAATCAACTATTTCAACACCATGATAAGGCCATGGTATTTCACAACAAATCCTAAAGAACTCAAATTATGAAGAACTGAACAACATTTTATGGAATTCATTCAAAATGTAGTTAGCTGCTATTCAAAATTAGGTGATTCTGTAATATGAATGAGAATAATTTACAAAAAATGCAATGAAGTCTAGACATTTCATCATGTAGTAAAAGATATGTGATATCGTCAAAGACTGCAATTACATTCATTTCAATTGCTGTGCAAAGATCATAATATAATTATTGATAGCTGTTAAAAAATCATCATATATTTTTATCCACTTCAATTGTCAATTTATCAGTGACAAAACACATTTATGTCATGCAGCCTTAACGTAATGATAACTTGAACAAAAAAATAAAAAAGTGAAGATTAAACAACTTCTCAAGAAGGTATCACGACCGTCCATTGCAATTATTGAAAACCCGAAATAATCAATGTATTAATCTTCATAACTGTGTAGTGTTGATAGTGTCACTGAAATTTGACAATTAAAAATCACAAATATCATTCAATTCAATAAAAAACATAGGATAATCACCTTTTCAATAAGTTATAATAAATGACACAGCTATCAATATCACTTAATTTTCAACAGGTGTGAAATATTTCAAACAATATTAGCTTCAGATAAGGGAATCATAATCATGTAGAAATGTGAATATATAATTAATTATATCTAAAATATTGAGCAAATATAGTGTATTTTTAAAAATCACCATTAGTGATGCTGATACTATTTCTTGTACGACCGATATATCATGTATTCTGGATTAGTATAAATCGCTCTTCTATAATGTCTGTCACATTGCTTAGTTGCGTTCATTTCATTTTATCATGCAGTTATTAGATATACGTATAATATGCTTCAAAATGGCGTATAAATTCACATATCGTTCTCTAAATGGTACGTAACTGAATTATTTACCGTTTTCCGAACAGTAACTGTATTGTGAACACAACTTATTGTAATAAGAAAATATGAGATAAGCAATCCTAAGTGACCAGGGCGTACAATAAATAATATTGTATTCATTTATAGATACTAATACAATTCATTATGAAAATATCGATTTGAAAAGGCCTCATTTTTGTTTCTTTATTTGCTCAATGATTTGTCTCAGACCTGAAAGGTCCGATAATGAAAGACTTAATATTATGCAGGAGGTAGACTGCAAGAATTATTAATTTTCTCGTTTCTATTCTGACAGTATTGAAGAATTATTCAGTCTTTTCATACCTGACTGAAGTTTTTTCGGTTGTTTTCATATAAAAGCTAACCTGACTTACAAAAATATAAGTATATTTTCTTCATTTATGTTCATCAACATCAATATCATCATTATATTATCACCAATGTCTGAAAACTAAAGGTCGGCTCTTTTGTCTATAGCTCTTCAACAGTTTCAAAATAATTTGAATCTCAATAGTTCATGATTTTGAAGGAATCTTTGAATGAGATATTTAAAAAAACAACAGGGTGTCACAGAAAACTCATAGTACAGGTGAATAATGCTAGGAGTTCAAATACTATGAGGTGGATACCGAGCTCAGAAATATGTTTTGGACTGACCATGATAAGGTTTCAACTGAAAACACAATTCTGATATGTTTAGAAAGTGAATATCTTTGAAACCAACATACTTGGGAAAAATGTATTCAAACTTCTAGTACAATTTTCATCAGTGTTCTTTACTTGATTCTGACCGTATACTTATGGCCCACCCTCTGTTTTTGTGCAAGAAAGTCACATATGAATGAAAACATGGATTTATAGAATATGATATTTTTGAGTAACTTGACTTCTTTTTCGAAATTTTCAGATGATTAATCAGTTGCAGTTTGAGCCAATCAAATCACCCTCATTGAACTGTGTCAGTTTACCACCTGCCTAGAAATATTTCAATACCTACTTTTTTTTCAACTACTACTTTCCAAGGCCAATTCTTCTATACCATGTTTTTCTCTCAATCCAGGGGTTTCTAGCTGTTTTTCCACACTTTCAGCTGTTTCAATTTGTTTTTCACCCTTTCCCAAGTCAAATCGGACAGTCCTTTTCTTTTGTTTGTGATCATCTGAGGTTATTATCAGATTTTCTTTGATTTCCACTATCTCCTTCTCTTTTTCATTTATTTTGGGCTGGCCATCTTGTATTTCCTCTTCTGCTTCTTCCTCTGCTTCATCTGCATATTTTTCATCATACTTTTCCTCTGACAAATCTGACACACCATAATCTTCTAGAGCATCATCAAAATCATTCTCCTGAACTCCTGTGGTTTCATTATAAGTCTTGTTAAGATTGTGCTCAAGTTCAGTCTTACTCCCTGTTGCTTCATCATCCCAATTATCTTGATAAATAATTCCAACAATTTCAGAGGATGCATTATTTATGTCATTCGTCATATTCGTCTGTTCCCTTTTATTTCGACCAGTTTTCCAACCACCCCGACCTCTACCTCTTTCCATGCTTCTACCCCTTCCACCTCTTCCTTTACCTTTAGCTCCACCATCTTCATTCTTAGTATCGTTGTCGCCTCTAGTTTCAGCACTCCTACTTCTTACCTTTGCACCCCTAACTCTGTTTTCTGTTTCAAACGGTAAGGGGCGAGCTCTTTCTATGCTCTTAGCTCTCATGGGCCCACCTCTACCTCTGGGATCTCTTCCTCTGCCTCTTCTATATTCACTTCTACCCCTATCTGAAACTCTTCCACTTCTTTCTGTCTCATTACCATCCCAGTCTGTTTCTGGCTCGCCTCCATTCCAGTCCGTTACTTGCCTACCGCTATGTTTGTTTGAATTATGTCTTCCTCTAGCTGTTTCATGTCTACCCCAGTCTGGATCATTTCTACCCCAATTTCTTCTATCCCTTTCAGGCTCACTCATATCCAAGTTTGATTCTGGTCTACTTTTGCTCGTTTCATATCTATTTCCATCTGAATAATGTCTTCCTTTAGCTGTTTCATATATTTCCCAGTTTGAATCACTTGTACTCCGATCTGTTTCATATCCCCTGTTTGTTTCATATCTACTTCTACCTCTACTTGTATCATGCCTACCTCTGTGTGTATCCTTCCTACCCCTGCTAGACTCATTATTACACCAATCTGCCTCATTATTAGCCATTCCTATTTCATATCTACCTCTGTCCGATAAACCTCTACCTCTGTCTAATGAACCTCTACCTCTGTCTGGTAAACCTCTACCTCTGTAAGAAGAACCTCTATCCCTGTAAGATGAACCTCCTCTTCCTCTTTCCAAACCACTTAGACTTCTGTTATGTCTACCTCTACCCCAGTCCAGTTCATTTGCCTGTTCGTCATGATCAGGGATGTGTTTGATATCTAACAATTTGTCGTCCTGACTTAATGAGTAATTGCGTTCTCCTGTTGCTGTCATGAGTTGAACTTTTATATTGATGGGGTTCTGGATGAACGAGTGTTCAGATGGTCCGATGTATCGACCTCTGCCTCGGGGAGCGATGGGTTGCTGTTCTTCCTGATCCTTGAATACATTGAAAAATCTGTGATAACTGAGTATTGAACGCATTTTTAATATTTTCGGTTTAGAAAAAATATATTGCTGATCGAAGGTGGTATTTCGGATACATTTACTTCTCTCTGTATATCAACAAAAATTACGTTTCCTATTTATTTCATCCTACTACCAGTATATATTGCCTTCCAAATGTTAATTTGGAAAGTATACAAATGAAATATTCCTAATCTCACATAATTTTTCGACTTCTGGGGAATTGGTTTGCAACTTTGAAGTACCAATATACCTACCAATTTTACAAGCAGAAATCGGGCCACTGCCACTGTGGACTTCGTCATGAAATTTTTTGAAATTTGCGCTGATTTTGAGCTCTTTTTTCAAATATTATTATGTGATATCATATATCTGTATACAGATTGTCACATACAGGAGTATAAAAAAAGGATGGCATAATGCAACTTGACCAGTTAAGAAGGAAAGTGGTTGTTTCAATGTAGTGGCCAGTTGTCACAGGGCCAGGTCTATCATGTTTGCGCTAGATCAACCTTTTTTATAGTGTGAACTAGTGCTCTACCACAATATTTCACTCATACTTTTGAATTAATCTATACCCAAATGAAAACTTTTCATTTAATTGCATTTTGATTGACTTGAATTATGAAAATGAAATAACGAAAATATAGCAATTTATTGATTGCCTGCGGCAGCATCTCTATTGCAGTAACCACACTACTAGTTCTATCCAAGTATCCATAGATAAAGCACACTGTTCTATCGCCAAGTGCAGAGTGCAGATCATGTGTTTGTGTTACGTTTTGAATGTTTGGCATTCTTTGGTTTGGCTTCGGTCTTCGGTCGGTGAATCCCCTAGGAAACGTCGGCAATTGGTGAATACCCAAGATTCGTGGCTACCACACAATTTTACTGATTGTTTGTGGGAGTTATATTTTTTGAAGCTTCATGATTTCCAGTGAGTTCATACAATGATGATTATTTAATTTATTTTCTTTACTTCTGTTGATTACCTACCTAATTACCTAACTAGTAAACTGCTAGTAGTTGGCAAAAACTGCAATTCTCCAAGTATATCTACCACTTTATTTTTATAATCTACCTCTCATCTCATTCTTGACCTGGCAACAATGGCGAAGACGTACGATAGCCGACCGAATGGGACCGAATCAGCTTCTCTAGATATGTTGCCATTCACATGATATATGCTCACATATGTATGTAACGATTGGGCAAACGATCTGTAAAACACAACGTCAATATCCCGTTTCTCTAAATAAATCTTTATTCCCATACTTTCCCAGCAAAACTGTGGATACTATTGCAGTACTTCAAAACCTTAAAAAGAAGGTTCATTTAGGCCCAGTTATGTTTGATTGCTTAAAAAATAACGTCATAATTCGAGACATAATTGTCAGAATATGGTTCAATACGACAAGAAGCGCCTGACGTCTGTAAAATAATCTGACAAGGTCACGATTTTTTTTTATTCTAAAAATTGGTCATGACTTTTGGTCGCCTCCAAATCGTCAGTCATTTGAATATGAGCTACTTCAGAGTTCACCTAACATCCTTTCTCAATACCTGAGGTGCTTGAATATTTTTTTTCACCTATTCTCTTCCCCATTCGTATGGCCATCCCCACAATGCAAACTAAAAGATTAGTATTTTTCGGTTATCAGAAACATGTGGGGCGCATAAACTATTAATATCTGAAGCGCTTGAGTACTTCTTTGTGACTGTTTTGTTTAATTTTTGAAAACCTGTACACGCTCTCCCCTCCAGTGAAAGGGCATACATCATATAACCTTTTTTTCTTTTAAGCATCTTATCTTCACCATCTAATAGGTCCCCATGACGCTCCAGTAAATCCCTATTTAACCTGTAACCTGTAACTATACCTAATATTTTGTAATCTTTTGATTTTGGCCAAGAACTGTGATTTTTCAAAAATAGATATCCGATTGGCTGGTGACTAGCATAAAGATTCATTATACTCTTCAATAGTTAGCCATGTGGCTGATAAAGTCTTTTTGGAACTTTATGTCCACATTGAATTTTTGTTTTTCTCTTATTCACTTTAGTTAGTTAATGATGAAAGTTTGATTTTAATAGTTGACTATTAGTATGAGATCTAACATATTGTTTCTGCCAATTGTTGGCCTAACATTTTGCCGAGGAAAATGATGATTAGATGAATTTGACTAGATGGAGATGTCCGATGTCCTGTTGAAATGTGTAAATTGATGTCCTTGGTGAAGAAGTTCTTGTTGGGTGGTACCTAGTATTCATCTTGTATCACAGATACCCAGAGACATCAAGATGTCCCTTCTTTTTATGTGTATTTATATTTTTTCAAGAAAATATAGGTACATAACTTTGTATTCAAAAAGGTTCACACTTCCATGTACCTGACTCTCTGACAAAAATATGAAACATGGTATTTCAGTTTGAGGGAACAAAAAATTTACCTTTATGGACCAGATGAAAATAACATCAATGGGAGACATCCCTCCAAGTTGCCAACCTAAAAAGCTCTACCAATGTAGAAGCCATATTATGTAAGTTTGATTACCCAAATGGCTTTATTTTGATGAACTCTGATTGTAGAAGTCTACTCAACTTTTTAATAGAAGTAATTCAGAAGAACAAATAGTTTCTCTACAAATGTCAAAAAATGACAAGGTTGGTGCATTGATAAAAATTTGAGAAGTGATACTTTTATCTTTGCACATTGATAAAAATTTTCAAAGTGACACTATTTTTCAGTTTGTCTATGTCCTATGTTGGTTAAACTAATTAAGATAGTGAAAACTTTAAAACAAAATATTGAAACAGATGTTTTCATATACAGGGGGTGTGAAGATGTTTAATTTCTTCAATGGAAAATCCTATAATTTACTGCATATTTCAAGAGTGATTTTTGCTGATTTCAAAAATATATAATGTTCATATATTCCATGAAGAAACACTGGGTGAATAGGAAGAATAAAACTTGAGATTCATTGAATTTTTTGTCATGACATCATCTTATTCAACTCAAGTTGAGCTGCAACCAGGAAATCACCAAGAAGATTGATTGTAAGTTGACCAGGTTGAGCTATCTGACCTAACCTGACACCAAACTTGAATACCTATAATGTCTATAACTAGGTTCTTTATATTATGAACAAATCATTTACCTTTTTTACATACCTGTTCATCTTGGTGTTTACGATCAAGAAGTTCTCTCAAATCTCTTACTCCAAAGTTGTGTAACGCCTTCATAACATGGGGGTCTGTACGACCACGTCCCCTAGGTGAATATGGGGGCCTGTTTTGATGAAAGTGCCGTCTACGTGGAGCATTTTCGTATGATTCAGTCTCAGAGAAATTCCCAGATTCAGCCATTTTATATCGATAAAAGTTGGTGACTATGATTATAAAGTACCCATTTAGCTTGAGTAATGAAAATCTTAAAAAAAATAAATAATTAAAAAAATTCAATTTTGTGACCCCACGTCCAACAAATCCAACATTCCAACAATCACCTGACAACACTGACAACAGTGACAACTGTGGTGCAAGATCTGTCGGCCCTGTCAGATGACCGACTCTGGAGGTAAAATATTGAAATATAACATAGCTTTTCTTATTTGTATATAAAGAATTGAAAAGTTTTTCACACTTATTTTGGCATAAGAATCGTGTTTTTTGGTTATTCAATAATTCAAGCATGCCATCACATTGTGGCAGTTGCACAATGAACAAAAAATGAAGCAAGACATATAGGAATCCGATTATTCAGGTGTGATCTAAAAGTACTGTAGTCACTCACATATAGTTTTCATTTCGAAATTTTGTCATTTCTCATTGGAATTCCTTCTGCAATAGGAGCTAATAGAAATACTCCTGAAGTTTCTGAAAGAAGGCAAGAAGCCTGCTTTGCCTGCTGAAGCAAAAGGTATTCTAATAAGAAATGACAAAATTTCATAATGAAAAGTAATTCGGTTGGTACATTATGATTTAAAAGTAAGTACCTACTATAGTCACTCACATATAGTTTTCATTTTTGAAATTTGGTAATTTCTCTGATTTCTCATCGGAATTCAATCTATATTAGCAGTATTAGCTTGTATTGCAGAAGTGGCAGGAGGCAGAAGGAATTTTGTTAAGGAATGACAACATTTCATAATGATAACTATGAGATTACTATTTACCTAAAAACATATTCCTCTGCATCTCCCTGCATTTTTTGAGCATTGTACAACAGAACAATGTGATGGTATGCTTGAATTGATGAATATTTAAAAAAACACAATTCATATCCCAAAATATTGTGAAAAACTTTTTCAATCCTTTGGGTCCTTTGTAAACAAATAAGTAAAGTGAGGTTGTGTTTCAATGTTTTACCTCCAGGGTCGGTAATGGTGCAGGTGACCTATTGTATTCTGATTTCTGTGATTCTATTCTGTCAGTGTTGTACGCTGGGCTCTAAATCTAATCTAAATCGCATTTTTTTGTATCATTCTATATTTCTAAGTATTTCGGTCAACGTAATTTAAAATGCCCAATAGCGGTCTAATAGACAGGGCCATAATTTATTCAATTGTTGATGACATGACGATGAACATGCGCATTGCGCGTTGAGCGAGCGTCGAGCTGTGTTGCCAACTTTGTTGATTTCACACTACAACTGGTGGTTTGAGTTCAATTTTGTTGCAAAATATGACATCTGGTTGGTGTTCATTTTGGTGATTTTTTTCAATTAAATGATGAGATCTGGTGGTTTAGGACATATCCGAAATGCCTCTTGTTTCATATAATATTTCAATTTTAACAATGTAATGCTAGAGAAAAGTTTTTACAGAAAAACTAGGTTCAACTGAAATCAGTTTCTAAAGGTTATGTCCAATTTAAGCTGTTTTTGTACCATCTTGAAGGTTGTGTTTTATTTCTTGTCTTCTTGTCATTAAGGCTGTATGATACCTGTTGAATTTGATGACAAATATGATAACAAAAATCATGACAAAAATATTTGTTATGTGTCATACAGTGAAAAAGGTGTTTTGTGCAAATTTTGTTTAACATTCTTGTAAAAATATAGCAATGGTTCTAAATATTTTGATATTATAAATATTTATACTGTATGGCACATATAGAAAATATTTTTGTTATCATTTTCGTTATCATATTTGTCATCAAATTCAACAGGTGTCATACAGCCTTTAAACATTGTGTACATAATTTTTACATACAACTGAGACATATTTTGGGTTAGAATAATTCGAAGGGTAGCAATAAAATGATTAAATAATCCGGTGTGGACCTGGATTGACACAAAGTTGTGTGGACCTGGAGTTAAAATCAACCGAAACATTTTTACCGTGTAACGTGTACGCCCCCAAAACGTACTGAGAACGTCCTGCCAAGACGTTTTGGTACGTACTGGGGACGTCCAGATTTGGTACGGTCGACGTTCAGGTACGTACTGGGGACGTTCAGATTCCGCGCGTTTGTACATCCTCAGTACGTCCATTCAGATAGCCAAAAAAGAGATTTAGATAAAGTAGAGAGTCTTATTTTGAATGAAAAAAATTTTAAATAAAATAAAAAACGCTTCTACCGGGAATCGATCCCACGACCTTTAGATCTGCCTCAACGTATTACTCTGAAGAACACTTGTTGATTAACAGTATACAACAAGCAATAGTATGTGCGAATGCCGATTGACTCATCACATCGATATTTTCATAGAATTAAATAATCACGGCAGAGAATACCTAAATAGATGTTTTGTTATCTGGTGGGGCCAGTGAATAATAAATTTATTGTGAGCATTGTATTATGTCTATATGTTTGCAAGGTTCCTATGATTTCAGAGATCGAGGGTAGAAATTATATACGCAATGATTTCGATTATAATTGAACAATTTATTCAATCCCATAAACGAACAGTCGATAACGTCCAGAGTTGGACGTAACCAGTACATCGGAATCGTACGTACCCAGTACGTCCAGAAATGCACGTTTTCAGTACGTCTTGAAAAGGTCCCGAACGTTCAGACCTAAATGGGACCTAAACTGGATGTCCCCAGGACGTTGAGTGCTATATGGGTGTCTAATTTATTTTGTTCGTTCTGTTTTCTGTAAAAAAAACTTTTATTACCTGATCTGATTTTTTTATCTGGTGTTATCTAGTGATCTGAAGTGAAGTTAAAACCACCAGAAAATCACTAGATTTTCAGAAATTTTCGCCTGCGGCGCATTTGTGTCAATTCCACCCGGTTTGTTGTTTTTTGGTGGCCAATTTGCGACTTTTGGAAATCTGAGTTGGCAACACTGGCGCTAAGCGATCTATGTAGATCTAGATGTTTGCTGTCATGAAGGGCGTTTACTTTTGCGGAATAGTGAACAAGTGAAAAAGGTGAAATTACTTTAAAACCACCAGTTTCGTGGAGAAGAATATATTCGGACATTATTATCATAGGACTTGTTGTAAGGTAAGGAAATTATTATTCACTTTTATTATTTATTTTCATGCGGAATACTAGAAACTTATGACCTGAAAATGGCCGACTATATAGGTGTAAGGTGTAACCAGTTTTGAATAACGATAAGAATGAATAGAAAATAACATAGGTCAAATTGTATGGTCATAAGCTCTTTACTAGGTATTTAGCATTTTTCTGTGGGTACAATTATAGTGGACTTGTAAAGTGGACAGCTAGAAACAGTTTTTTGGGTCTTATAAATGCCACTGAACTGGAAAATGGCATTCAGGTCAGGAAATCAAGTGAGCATCTCCCTAAACAGAGATCCACAATTCTTTGAACAGACAGGAGACAGGACCTTTCCAGTGCTTTCCTCTCTGTAACAGGTGTGTGGGAGAGATAATCTTAAGTACCTTCCAATATCTATTCAGAAATAACACATTTTTACCCCTTTATATTATACACATTTCAAAAAACAAACAACTTTTTTTCTGTGACCGGAAAAAATCCCTGTTGACAAGTTATAAAATGTCACTTTTCATGACTTCATAATAGTTATTTTTGTATCTAGAGCGCGAAATGCTACTTTGGTGATCGAGATCTGATTTTTTTAACGAGGCGTAGCCGAGTTGAAAAAATAGTCGAGATGACCAAAGTATTTCGCGCTCGAGTTGCAAACAACATTTTTTCTACAAACCTCAAAAAATATTGTTCTAAAGTGGAGATATGCTCAGCTTGATATAAAAAATAGTGTTGAACAGGCTTTAATGGCCTCCCCTATCCTCCCTAGGTACGAACGAAGTTCCACGAACATAATAGGAATTTCCTTTCGTGCGCTCCAAGAGATAAAACGGAGTTATTTATTGAACATTCAGTAATAAATGATTTCGTGGATGTTTGCTCGATTGTGGACCATTAAGTTGAAATATAAATATCTCATATATTTTACATAACAGTGCGCGAAGTAGGTACTTCGCGCACTGTTTTACTTCGCGCATTGTTTTGTGCAAGATATCATTGTAACGTAGGAAACTGAAAAAAAGTGTCACTTCGCAATTTGTTATCAATGCGCGAACCTTGTCATTTTTTGACGTTTGTAGAAAAATTACTTTTTTCTACAAACGTCGAAAAATGACAAGGTTCGCGCATTGATAGCAAATTGCGAAGTGACACTTTTATTCAGTTTCCTATGTTATCTTGCAACCAACTACTTCGCGCATTGTTATGGAAAATATATGAGATATTTATATTTCAACTTTATGGTCCTCAATCGAGCAAACATACACGACATCATTTATTTCTAAATCTTCAACAATAACTTCGTTTTATCTCTTGGAGCGTACGAAAGGAAATTTCTATTATGTTCGTGGAACATCGTGCCTACCTAGGGAGGATAGGGGAGGCCTTCTAAGCCAGTTCAACACCTTTTTTTTATTTCAAGCTAAGCTTATTTTTACTTTAGAACTATATTTTTTGACGTTTGTAGAAAAAATTTTGGCTCGGCTACGCCTCGTTAAAAAAATCAGATCTCGATCACCAAAGTAGCATTTCGCGCTCTAGATACAAAAATAACTATTTCCCATGAAAAAAACGTGAGTACTTTTTTCCAGGATATGTACCACATATATATACACTGTTGATGGCTTTTGTTGTGCTATAGTTCCGAGAAATAAGCCAATAACACTGTCTCCACAGTCCACCTGTCTCTGAGAAAGAACTGCAAGTCCTTTTATCTTCCATGCTACTACAGCCACTAAATTCGCAATTTTTTAAAATCAAATCACAGAATTAGACTGACAGATATTTGATTACTTCAAAAATGTGCCTGAAATGCAGGTGTCATACCTGTTGAAAACTTCAAATTTCATGTTGATAATTTGGTTTTTTATCTCCCTCAGCGGACAACACAACCTGGTGCGAACATCTACTACTTTTTTTCCCTTGTATAATAAATAACTATTTATTACCTATGCTGAACCTTAAACTTTAGACTCATGTTTACTTGTTCATAGTTTAAATTATTTAGTTTTTCAATATTCTGAAAGATTCTTCAGTAATTCACAAGGTATTTTGTAATTAGTTCTTGAGTATGCCACATTGGAAGTATTTCTCCTTTTCTGATATCATTTCACTGCTCTTAATTACTTTTTCATAATTTTGATTGCTTATAAGTAATTATTTCAAATTATTTTCAAGTAGGTAGGTACTTCAAATTAATCTAGTATATGAAATAAAATTTCCATTATTATCACATATTTCTTGAATATCAAGTTGGTAGGATACTTACAAATAGATATGACCTTATAGAATTTCATCTCCATTACTCATTTTGTACTGTTTATTTATTTCAACTTCCAATTTTCCATAGGCAAAATCAATTAAGTCAAGTATGAATTGAAAGGATATGAGTTGAAAGGTTAAACCAATGTTTCAACTATTCTGTTGATTTGGAACACACCTAGGTTATACCTAGAGTCACTGGATGGTATTAGTTAGATTGTTAGATACCATCAATTATTAATTTTCTACCTGTTCTTCTTCTAGGTCAGGTCAAGTGTCAAGTACCTACAACTATATTTTAAAGAGTTGCCCATTGGTATAGTCATAACAATTCAAGGTTGTGCTACCGACTGGTCAACAAAAATTGGTCAATTGGCCAGTTATTTGAAGGTCAAATGATTGGTCAATTGCCTATCATATCTTGAAGAGCTGAATATGGCCTGGTGTCCTCAAAAACATTCATACCCACTTGATACACAGAAATGAAAGACCGAAATGTCAATCAAACTTCGACATTCTGTATCTCAGAAACGAATAATTTACACATATTTTTATACGAACTTTTCTTCTTATTTTGACGTCAGCAACATGCTCCTGGATTTTTTACACTTACTTCAGAAACACCCTGTATATTTTCGTAGTATATCAAGTGCCATCAGAGGAACACATTTATGGAAGAAAATTCAAATCCACGTGTATTTTGAAAGAGTTATGATTTTTTTTCTGAAATTCACAAAAAGGGGTCCTGTGGGGCTTATTCTTGTCCCACAGAATATTGTGATATATACAGATTATGAAGGACCCTTAGAGGATTATATTAATGGAAAATTGTTTCATCCACGGATATATTTTGGAGGTGTTAGTAATTTCATGGCCAGCCATGAGTATAAATTAGTAATAAACGACCATTGGTGGTATGTCGCTCGCCTCGAAGAATTAGCAAAGTCCTGGCTGGAACTTGTTGTTGCTGGTTTCACACTGATAATGCCCTGAAAACTGCCACTTGAAAATAATTATCACAGCATTGTTATTGATAATTGCACTAAAAAAATCATCATAATCAGATGATTTGATTGGCAGAAAAACAACTGCATATAGGTGTCAATCTTTAGTCATTTGCAGGGCAGTGTATTTTGAACTCCTTGATAATCATGCTATAATAATACTATGCTATTTTATAATCTGAAGTTTATTTATATCCATGATTCATGAGTCATCAGTTTTGATTTGTGGCAGTGGCCTTGAATTTGAATTTTTCCATATAACTGGTAGGTATTATGCAATGTACATGTTATTATAACCATTTAATTATTCAGATATACTCAGATGATTCAATTCAGTTATTATTATGTTGTCACTTTATGACTTTAACTCCAGGTGAAAATTTTATGTTTGATATCTTCAATTTCAAATTATCTTATCTATGGTTGATTGGTTAATATTGATTTAGTAATATCAGAACAATAAGTCATGCAATAAGTACAGATGTAACAGATTTGTTCTTGATTTAGGTATCAATTTATTTTTTATTCTACAAAAGACATTAAAATAGTTTATTCTTACCTTTTTGAGTTGTTTGCATGCCTTTTTGTCGCGAATAGTGCAATAAATAATGGAAAGCAGCAGTGAAAGAGACTCAAAACAGAAATACATTGAAGGATATATTGAAGATACAAAAGATGTAAATTTGACTAAGTCACAAAAATCGGAAATTGTTAAATCCTGGCCTAGTTGCGCGTGTGAGTGGTTTTTTGGGAATGAACGTGGAATCTGATGTTTGTTTGGCCTGTTTCGTTTTAAATGGTGAACCCTGTATTATGTTTTATCGAGGCCAATTTCCTTGATTCGGGATTGGGTCTTACCATATCACAATCATAGACAGCTCGATAGACAATATCATCCAGGAAAAACAATTTAAGGTGGTTTCATAAAACGGTCATTATAATTACATTATCATTACATTATACGGAGTGTAAATTGATTGAGTGCCGATAATAGAAGGTCGAGTAGAAGGTGTTAATCCTCGGGTGTTTTTAAAAACAAAAGTTCATGTCCTAAAAGTTAGTTTTGTATCATAATTTTCTATCACTCTCAGATATTTTTATGAAATTTTGTACACACCTCTTCATCATTAAGGAGCATTTTTGACGTCCGTACGGGGTTTGAACCTCGGTTTGAACTGACAATTTTTGAAGAAAAATATGGTATGCCTTTGATTTTTCTGAAAACCAACATTATTTTTGTGATTCTCATTTATTTTGGAGAAAATTAGGCTCCAAGACTTACTTTACGACGTAACGTTTTCGCGTATAAAAATAAAAACTTTTTTTTTCTTCAGTTCGATGAGATAGTTTTTGGTATTTTGTGAAAATTTAGTAGGAACCCGCTCTGAGTGGAAGGAAACCATTTTGTTTTGGGACGAAAATATTTTTTTTACTTTTACCAGTAATGTTCAGTCAGACCTGATATTGAATGTTATGATTTGAAAAGATGAACTGTACGTTTCTCATTTAAACACCCTGTAGCTCAAAAACCAAAAAGTTAGAGGTTTAGGACATATGTTGATATAAACTTATCTCCTTAAAATCACCCGAGTAATCACACCTTGTATTATCAGCACTCAATTAACAACTAATGTAAATATATTTATGATCACAGTTATGTAGTGATAATTTAATCATAATGAATGTTTTATAAAACCACTATCAGACTCTTAAGCTGTGTAATCA